AAGAGGATAATAGAAATGTAAATGAAGAAAATAAAAGCAATAGGGATAAGGAAGCAAATGAATATGAGAATGTGAAAGAAAATGAGGAAGCCGATTTTGATGATGACTTTGTGACGAGCCCAAGAGACAAGAAAATTGTAGAAGCTGTTCGGTGAGTATAGATCTTTCCAATTTTCAATTCTCATGAAATTTTACTTTTTAAAGTTTTCATATAATATTTGCGTAACTCTTTGTTAACTATATGCATTTAAACTCTACAGAGATGTTTCTCAAAAAGAGGAATGTGGTATTGATCAAAAGAAAGAAACCTCATCCATCAAATGGGCTGTCAGAAAGAGGAAGAGGAAGGATGGACCTTCTGTTACTTCACCCTATTTGCGTCTAGATCAACCCAAAGAAGGCACAAAGAAGAAGCATGTCATCCAGACATTGTATAGTCCTGAGGGAGCTACTAAAAAAAAGTGCAAAAATGAAGAAAGCTGTATGCCTACATCTTGCAACTATCCAGGAAAGTTTTATACCTCGTTGTTCTGGAAAAAAATTTGTACCCATTTATTCACATTTTTGTACCTCTTTAGCATACTTTTATACTCACTTATTCAAGTTTTATACCTTGTTCTTCTGAAAAAAAAATTTGTACCCACTTATTCTGATTTTATACCTCTTCAGTATAATTTTATACCCACTTACTAAAGTTTTATACCTCGTTCTTCTGGAAAAAAAAATTGTACCCACTTATTCACATTTTGTACCTCTTTAGCATACTTTTATACCCGTTTACTCAAGTTTTATACTTCTTTCTTCTGAATAAATATTTGTACCCGCTTATTCATATTTTATACCTCTTTAGCATAATTTTATACCCACTTACTCAAGTTTTATACATCGTTCTTCTGAAAAAAAGAATTGCATCCACATATACATAGTTTTTGCTCAAATTATCACATTATAGCGAAGCACATCCATATAACCACATTATCAACTTTGCAAACAAAATGTACTCTTTTCTAAGAACACATAATTGCATCCATACACTTTCAATAACATTCTGAAACACATGATTATTTTTAAAACAAAATGAAATCCACCAAATCCAAATACTACTTTGTTGTGGCCCTCCATTAGCTTTCTCGACCTCCATATGCAGCATTTTTCATCTACAAAAAAAACACCTTTATCAACACACATGCATTGAAATGAATTATCACATAAAATTAAGATTAAATATAATACCTTAGCCAGAGGACAACTCGTTATGTAATGTCATTTTCCCTTACAAAATCCACAATCTTTGCTTTTTATACTCTTTTCCTGTGCTATCTCCATTCCGGACTTAATTCTAATAGCATGTGCTGGTCGTCGCTTCGTGGCAACATGCTTATCAGGATCACGAATAGTGATTTGAGTTGTTTCCTCTATAGAGATGAGTATGGATGAAGTATGCATCTTATTGCTGGCGTTGCTCTCATTTCCATTATCCTTAAGTTCCTTCTCTTTCTTATATGTCTCAACTTTAAAAATGTGTCTAAAAGAGCACTAAACTTATCATGAAGTGTTCTTGATATCAATGTATCTTCTAGTGCATTGTTACATCTACTCCTAAGGGCCCATTGTTTAATGATATAAAGTTGGTATTCACTATTTGTAATGCAATTTCTAACAACTCCGAGATCAACATGTCTTGCGTTAATTGTCCATCGTTGCATAATATATCTTGATTCTTGATGGGATTTCTAATACTTGATTTTTTACCAAAATGTGCAAGCTATGTCTGCATAATATCCTTCCATCTCAAATCGCGCACAAGAGCACTTAATTCTTTTTTCTTCGGATGCATCGAAGACTACATGATGCTTTAATATCTTCTTGTTTTCAGCCTCCCCATCTATATTCCAAACGGCATGAGTAGCATTTGCGCCATCCTTCGACAACCTTTCATGAAGCATAGAGTAACTGTCTTTGAGTTTTTTCTGAAATATAGTAAACATATTCTTTGTATAATTATCCCTAGCTTGTTTTTCAATTGGATGCTCGATTATCAATGTAGGAATTGAGTTTGTGGACTTAAAATCTTGCTCAAGTTCAGCGGCTCGACGAGCTTCGACGGTTTTATCATATTGCTTAACAAAATCATGTAACTTAGTATTGGCATTCACAAAATGATCAAAAAAAGCATTAATTTCCTCATTCCGCTGAGTAGATGTCATTCCTGCAGTAAAAGTACCTTTAAAATACACAGCAATCCAATGACCTCGATGATTGTACAAATTTACTAACCAACTTCTCTTATCTGCCCTATATATGTCCCTCATTTCTTCCCAATGTTTTTCAAAATTTTCTATTGTTTTACTCAAATACCATTTGTTATACTTTATAGAAACTTCCTCGCCATAATCATTATGCACAAATTGAAGATTTTGCAAGGCATTCCTATGAAGGTGCCAAGAACAAAAGCAATGACAAGTTTGAGGAAAAACTTTGTGAATTACACAACACATAGTTTTATCTTGATCAGTGATGATTGTTAATGGTGCTATACCTAACATACATTTTAGCATTGGCTAAATAACCATATAAAGGTCTCCTCTGTTTCATCGGCCAATAGTGCACACCCAAATAAAGTGGATTGTCGATGATGGTTGACACGTAAATGGTGCAAACGATATTTTTTTAAATTATTTGTTCTATATGGAACATCAAAACACATCTCCAAATTGCAAGTAAGAAGTCCTGACCCTACCATCCATCCAAATAACACTTCGCATCGTACCATCATTTTCTAAATCTAGTGCAAAGAAAAATTATGGATCAAATATCTTTTTCTCTTGAAATTGACGAACGATGTTCACGCACTCATGACCGACATTGTTTATTCGTTTATTTCTAAGATGACGTTGCCATTTTTGTTGAGTGAGAGAGCCTTGTTCATTTCCATGAGCAACGTCTACAACCTTACAAATGGTAGATAGGCATAAACCTTGATTGTCAAGAGTATCTATCAATCTTTTTATCGATTGAGATCGATGAAACGTCTGATGTGAGTGGTGCTTCTTTACCCGGTTTGGAGTGGTTAATGGATGACCATTATGATTAATGTTAAAATTTCGGACCACCCATTTTCCAGTGCTTCTATCAAGTCCAATAATCATCCTTGCGTTGCATCCACATCTAGTGTCGGACTTTCGAATTACATTCCGACCATCTTCTCTCTTATCTTTTAAAAATTTAAAGCATTCTTTGTCACATACAAACGTTCTAGATATGATTGCATCTTTCTTTCTCGACCAAGATGTATGACCCTTGCGAATACCAAATCCCTTAAGTCGGGCATATGCATTGTAGAAATTATAAGCTTCCACATGAGTAGAGAACTCCATACCGATATATGGATCAATAGCAATATGTTCGCCATTTTCAACACCAATAGGCTCATTAGGCTCATCATATCTAGAACCATGCTCGGATGCCTATAAAAATAGAGAAACAAAACTTATGAAAAAAAATACTCAATTCAAGCTTAAAGACAACTTGTTGTAGATAGTGGATATTTTCACCTGAGACAAAAAACTTGTTCTAGATAGAAGATCATGTTCCTCGCCTTCAATGACAAGGGTTGTAAGATTGTTTTCATCTTCATCGATTGTTGTATCACGTGAGAGAATTGTTGGAGTGTCCATAGCTGAAATGAATTTACGTATAAGTTCATATTCATATAGCAAATATTCCAAAAATTCATATAAGTTCATATCCAAAATCAACATAAATTACAAAATAAAAATTTCATAACTATTAGTGGCAGTCGTCATCACAGCACTTTTCACCCCTCAATGCGCAAGGAAGAGAAGTATTTATTGAAGCCTATCATACTCAAAACATTATTCTCAAAATTACGAGTGACATTAAAATAGTTGAAAAATGATAACTTCTACAAAAAGTACTGAGGAGAATTACTTGCAATTGAGAGGAAGGGAGGCACGGCGTCTCGTCGGTGTCGTCGGAGGAGGGGATCGCGTCGGTGGGCGCGCTCGGCGGAGGGGAGTGCGGACGAGGGAGAGGTCTCGTCAGATCTGAGCTGTGCGGGGAGACACTATTCGTTCGGAGGCGGGCTCAGACCTAGTTGTGGCGGGGATCGTCCAAGGTCGGTCTCAGCGGAGGAGGTCGAGCGCGACGGAGGGGAGGTGAATGGGGGAGCTGTCGAGCGGATCTGAAGGTGCCGCGCGATCCAGATCTAGGCTGTGGCGGAAGAGAGGAGGAGACGAGGACAGGGGTGGGTGTTTGGGGGGAAATCTGGGAAAAGGGTTTTTTAGTTTGGGGATTTTTTAGGTGATTTGAGTTATTTGAATGGATGGTTGAATCCATTTGAGGAATAGTAAATGGACGGTTGAGATTTCGCAACCTTAGATGGACCTAAGGAGTCACCTTAGGAAAACATTATCCATATATATATATATATATTATATATATATATTATATATTATATATATATATAGAGAGAGAGAGAGAGAGAGAGAGAAATATGGGTATGCTTGGTACCAAGCACAAAAAGTTATGCTTGGTAGTGAGGTGTCACATTTCCCTCCACTCATTCAAATGTGGGACCACATTCACATGGGTAATGAGTGGATGAGGATGTGACACATCACTACCAAGCACAAAATTTGTACTTGGTACCAAGCATACCCATATTTCTCTCTCTCTCTCTCTCTCTATATATATATATATATATATATATATATATATGCAATATGTGTCATTTGCATTGATCATGGCAACTCCTCTATACAGATAAAACCTATCAGAACTTACCTGTCTTGATGTGTTTGAAACCGAAATTGGAAGCAAGTTTTCAAACCTCAGTCCAAATGTTGCTATAGTTGGCCACCAGAGACCGTTTTAAGTTGATAGCTCGCTGGTGTTTCATATGCATACCCATAGGCAATATTTGGTTAGGCTTGTATGCTGGAGTTTTGCGTACCCATAGGCTTTTTTTAGTTAGGCTTGTATGCTATAGAGTTCTGCCTTGAATAAGCCAGGAAGTATGTGCTAACTCAATACCAATAGAAGGCCCATTCAATGTAATCTAAGAAAATCCTCACATTTAATGTTTGCCATCTGCTTTAATAAGTGAAGTTCCTTAATCTTGAATCCTATGTTTGAGCTGTGGGCTTATCTTAAGCAAGCCTTTTTTGTTAGGCAATTTTTATTTAGGCTTAAGTATGTTGGAGTTCTGCCTGGAATAAGCTAGAAAGTACGTGCCAACTCAACGGTCGTAGTAAGTCAATTCAATATAATCTAAGAAAATCCTCACCTTTAACGTTTGCCATCTGCTTTACTTAGTGAAGTTGCTTAATCTTGAATTTTATGCCTGAGCTGTGGGCTAATCTTAAAGCAAGCCATTTTCTAACCCTCTATCTATTTCTTGCATTCTTTTTCCCCCGATAGGCATTTACGATCACCTTCCTCATCATCGCCGTACTCGATTCAGGTCTTCATGTGGAAGGCAATCTCACCATCTTAATCACCCAAAAAAATCTGAATGCCAATCAAGCACGACTTCTTCATCAGAAGCTTGTTTCATTGTGGATGCATCAAGCATTAGCAAAGCAACCAAGAGTGGCAAAGAAGCACTCCCATATCTCCATCATTTTGGTATGTTTAACATGTTTCATGGGTCACTTTTACCATCTGCATTGAGATGCTTAGTAGGTTAGCATCCTCCTAGGATGGTGACTCTGAATTCCTGTTGTTCATGGTTGACATGCATGCGATAGCATAATATGGGTCAATTATAGGGAGATTTAACCTTCCTACAACCTTCACTCCTTATTCCTCTCATGCTAACCTTCCTACGACCTTTACTTCTTATTCCTTTCATACTAACCTTCCTATGACCTCTAATCCTTATTCCTTTCATTGCCCCCTCCATATTTTAATCTCAAAACAGTAGCAATCAAGATCACACTACTACTACTACTACAAAGCTGCCTCTATCCCAATTTTTAGACATTGGCTTCATGAATCCTGTCTACTGATTGCAGTTATTAATTTACATCTGTGAAGTGGCAACTAATCTTAACCGAAGTGGCATCCCATACTTGCACTATCTATGGTGAAGAAAAGAAAACACGTCATGCATGAATCACTTCTTTCTTGTTTTTATTTAGCTGGTCCTACTTGATTGTGCCTGTGATAACATCAAATTAGATCATATGAAGTGAATGTGGAATTTTTTATGTTACAATTTGTCTGTCATTATGTTTACATATTCATTTTGCGACTTACTACTGCGACATCTTGGTGGTGGTTTCATTCATTGGTTTTTGGTTCTTTTTAGATCATTCTCAACCCTGATTTTATTCTTCTCATACAGAGGCTCGATACAAGTTCTTATCTGCACTTGAGGGAGATAAACAACAATTACAGCGGTTTTACAATGCATGCCGGGGCCTTTCTCAGGTAAAGAATATATTTCATAAGAATAAACCTGCAACCATGCGTGATTGACAATGAGAACAATTCTGATATGATTTTGACTTTTTGTGAATTTCTTTGGTTTATAGGGCAAGTTATAGTTATATTAGTACAACGATAGTGTTTCTCCGGGTGAAATAGATTTCTTTTTCCAAAATTTTAAATGTATTGGAAATTGAGAGACCCAATTCTGATAAAGATGTTTATCCATGAGTTCACAAGTCTGAACCAATTAGCACTTCAACTTTTGCTTGAACGTGGCTTCAATTTAAGTTTTGGATGAAATTGTTACATCATTAAGTATCCTGGAAATATGAAATATAAGAAAGAAGAAAAAAAGATGATGGCTAGGTGACTCTTGGAAAAGTAACTATGATATGTACTAGGCTGAGCGATTTCTTCTTCTTCTTCTTCTTTTTTGGGTTGACAATGATTTGAAATTTATAGGAACAATGTAGCATAACCACCATCACCCAGGCTATTAATATTTTGCAGTATTTAGTCAAAGAATTGCGTAATAGTTCTTTATGCATTATCCTATGTCTTATGGCATAATATTGTGAGGGGGTGAAAGTTCTCTGGTGTTTGGGGTCCATTTTGTGACTGATGATTTTAGGGGTACTTTTCCACGTAGATTAGCTTGAGGGGACAATACCAAATTACTCTTAGCTTGCTACTAGTTAGTGGAGACAATACCAAATTACTCTTAGCTTGCTACTAGTTGCTTATTGCAGCCTGCACAGAAGTAATCCAATCTATTCTTCGTCTTATGTATTGTTTTCTTATTTCAGCAAAACAGTTACGTTCCTGTAGCACCACCGGACGCAAGACCAACTCCCAACCCATGTTTTCTTATTTCAGCAAAACAGTTACGTTCCTGTAGCACCACCGGACGCAAGACCAACTCCCAACCCATCACATATACACTCAAATGTGTCAGCAGCGCACCACCGGACGCAAGACCAACTCCCAACCCATCACATATACACTCAAATGTGTCAGCAGCACCAGCACCTTCACATTCTCCTGTTCCTGAAGATGTACAACTAGCCATGGCTATTAATGCCTCCATTCAATCAGCCTTAGCTGAGGGAGTCCCTATTCCTAATCCCCAACCTGTTAACCTATCAACTAACACCAATGGCTGGGCTCCCTCAGAAAATACCACCACCACCACCTACAATGGTTGGGGCCAATCAAGTGGAGCTCCTCCGCCATCAAAAGTAGCAACTACTTCAGATCCATTCAACGGGTGGTCTGGAGTGAGGCCAAGCAGTAGTTCACCCCACCTTCACAATAGCCAGCTTGAGACTCCATCAGTTCTTCCTTCAGCTCATGAGGCACCTCCTACTGTGACAGTTCCTTCAGCACCTCCTACTGTGACAGTTCCTTCAGCACCTCCGTTGGCTGAGGAAACATTCTATCCGGGACCCGTCCAATACCCAACAATAGATTCCAGCCAGGTGGACTTAAGTGTGCCAGCTGCTGGGAGCAAGGCAGAACCTTTTGATCCAAAGGAGGACAGCAGCGGCGGCGAGTCATCCTCTTGTGTGATATGTTTGGATGCTCCGGTGGAGGGAGCTTGCATTCCTTGTGGTCATATGGCTGGATGCATGTCATGCTTGAATGAGATCAAAGGGAAGAAATGGGGTTGCCCTGTGTGCTGTGCCAACATAGATCAAGTTATAAGGCTGTATGCTGTTTGAGAGTGGAAACTCAAGTTCTTCACTGAGTAATGTCTATATGAAATTATCACATATTTGGTGCTTTCCCGCACGCTATGTTCATAGAAGTTTCCAAGGGATGACATAGTGATGTATGTATATAGAGTGGACGTAAAAATTTGTGAGGATTCAGCAGGGCTTATTGAAGGTTTCAGCAGCTGAGATTTGGGAGGGCTGATCTCATGAAACCCTGGTGGTTTACCTCGGCCATGGTTTTTTTTTTTTTTTTTGCCAAAGCTATGTCGTTTCACATGTTGGCTTGTTATGTGCAAGTACATGACAGTTTAGCTCGAGGTTCTTGGTGCCAATTCTTTTTGTATCATGTTGTTAAATGTTATGACTTTTTGAGTATTTGGATGGAGTGGAAATGTTGCATAGTATAGATACTGAAAGGAGAAGTGGAGCTCTTTCATATTATGTTCTGTCTATGTAGCTCTTTCAGTTGAAGATATCTCTAGTTGTCTGATCGTTTTTGTTCGCGAACCTTATTCAGAGTCGAATCTATTCGGAGTCAAATCTGTTTGCATTTGTTGCATAAACTTTATTCAGAGTTGTATCTGTTCGTTTTTGTTGCAGGAACTTTATTTGGACGACCATTCTGGAATCATTTACTTCATGACACAGACCTTGCATGCGGCTGAGTGAATTCTCTAGTACAATCACAAAGTGAGCAGCTGTTTTCGAGTGGACAAATTTTGAAAAGCATCTCATTTACCAAAAAAATCGCAAAAAAACGACCTATTCTAAAAATAATTGTCAAAACCGGCCTACTTTTAGCCGTCGGGCTGAAACTGGGTTGGTTTTGACTAAAAAATATGAAACTTGAAGTTTATCAGTCTATAATGACGTTAATTAAGGGCGACAATTCTTTCACGGGATTTCAAGTCCCGTGAAATTTTTTAGTTGAAAAAACTTCACAAAAGTCCCATGAAGTTTGAGCTGAATTTCCAGCCTCTGGAAATTCAACCTGCAACTTGACGGTTTTCCTGTGAAGCTGCATGTTTTTTATATACACGACGGTTTTCCTAAATATATTTCACAACAATATACATGAAGTTTTCACCATGAATCAAACAATATATACCGAATTACAAAATTATTCTTAAATTTTCGGCCATGAATCAAACAATACACACGAAACTACACATGTGAACAACAATCAATCACATATATATTGAATTACAACAATATTCTTAAAATTCAGCCATGAATCAAACACGAATCAAACAATACTCAGAAAATCACATATATAAACAATAATCGATCCACAAAAGTGTAGTATTTGAAAAATCATAAAAGTAACAAATTTCAACAAAAGAAAATCACATACAACCCAAAATTCTCCTCTCCTTCCCTCCATCTCTTCCCCCTTCCCCTCACTCTCCCCCTCCCCCCTCCCCCCGGTTGTGTATGAGGCTGAGAAGTACCAGCTCCATCAGCATGCGCCGTGCTATGAGAAGTGCCGGCTCCATCGTCACCTGACCTACGTTGTCGTGTGTACATTTGCCCAAATGATCGAGACTTGTCCTTACGGCCTGCAAACTCGTCGACACGAGTCTTATGAAACGCACTTGTTATTCTCTGTTTGATCCTGTTGAAGACCCCTAAGGCCGTCGGATCCTGGATGTCACTGATGTGCTCATCTATATCAGCTTCAATGTCATCAAATGCTTTGATCTGCGAGTTAATAAATATATACACAATTTAGCAAATAATATCTTAATAAAAAAATTGTCGTTTTAATTTATGTTAGAAACTTACATAATCTCTCTCGATCATGGCACTAGGGATGTAACTATCTGTCGGTGGACGTGATAGGTATCTAGCTGATGGTTGTGGGTCGCGTGCGATCCATCTACGTGTGATATCCCAATACCAACGCTACGTGGTATAATCAACATATGTATCTCTCTCATCATCCTCGGATTCGACACTTGCACTATCATCTTGATGGGCCGTGTTAGTATCAAAGGCATTTGAAGTGCCCAGATGCAAAGGACCATTCAAGTAATGTGACTGTGTCCAGCTTTCATCTTGTTGCGAAGATCAAAAGCAGATGGAGTCAACTTCAAGGTCCTCCAACATGAGAGAGTATATTTTGTCGTGATTCACCAATTTGCCCAAATTTCTCTGATGTTTTTCAATAAATAATTCCACTGAACGCTTCTCGTCATGTAATACTCCAATAAGACTCATATCATAGTCACTTGAGATTTGAATGCCGCTTGTTCTGTTCCCAACAACAGGATAATTGTAAATAACATTGAGATGATACTCACGTGAGTTGGTTAATGTAAGTTTGTGTAAGTCATTAACCAATTCATTGAAAGTACACGATTTTGATATAAACAACGGCTTCATCACACCTCCTTCATAAACGGGCATATTATTTTCGAGATAGTTAATCTTCCCATCATATGAACAAAGAATTACGATTCGATCGCTCATCGTTAACTCTGAAGAATAAAATTTTCAATATCAATATTACACGAAAAACTTAAAAAAATGTTACTTACCATTAATCTCTTATATCGATTTTAGAAACCCATAATTTTAACCAAATGTCAAACCTTTGTAGCAACACTAACTTTTACATTTTTTGATAATTTCCCCTCTGAATACACAAAATTATTTAATTTTTCTTCACAAAATTCGTAAATAATTCAAAAATTATTTCAAAATCTAATTTTTCATAAGTAATCACCATGAAATAGTGAGAATATATAAAAAATTAGGAGATTTTTTTAAAAAGATTTTACCTTAAAATTGTCGATGCCCTAGTTTCAGGTGAACTCCGGCGATGACTGCGACGGTGCTATCCGGTGGGGGCCGACGGGAGGCGACGATAGGACCAACATCGGCGGCGGCGATGAGGGGCGGCGGGTTCAGGTTCAGTGGGCTAGGGTTTGGGTCGCGTGGGGGTGTGGGCCTGAGTTCTCGGTTGTGCCTTGTATATGCAAAGCCAAACTCCATGGGGCTTGAAGTCCTATGGAGTTGTAGGCCGCATTTTCTAAGGAGTAACTTCTCTGGAAAATGAGACTGAAGCTTCATGGGACTTGAAGTCCCGTGAAGCTTCGTAGTTGAAATAAACTTCACGGGACTTGGAAGTCCCGTAAAGTTACACATCTTAATTAAATGGCTACTAAACTTCACGAGAGTTCAACTCCCGTGAAGTTTTAGGGGTTTTTTTATCAAAACCAACCCAGTTTCATCCAGATGGCTGAAACTATGTCGGTTTTGACAATTATTTTTAGAATAGGTCGTTTTTTGAGATTTTATTTTGTAAATAAGATGGTTTTCAAACTTTGTCCTTTTCGAGTCGACCAGGGTTCAAAAGTGAGAGCTTTGAGCGCCTGTATTCTCGTAGACATTGAAGGGTTTGAGTTTCATCGTCATCTCCGTGTAATGCTATGCAGATTAGATGTTGATTTGTTATGAAATTTGATCAATTTTGATTATATATATATATCACGATTAATATATATATACTAGTAGGGTCAACAAGCTGTAAAGTCAACTTGCAAATGTACAATTAATATTTTGTTTTCATGAAACTTCATAGCTCAATGTTGCCATATATCACGATCTTGAATTGTTTTTTGTCGTTATTTGTCATGAAATTTGCAGCTAAACAAATGCATGTGTGCTGGATTTTGAGGTTGTTTCACTGGGCTACCCTAGTCCATGTACGTATTTCTGTTGTTTAATGTGTTTCCTTGCTAATTTATTTCCAAAAGATTATGTTAGGTTAGCTCCATTGCAACTTTAAATCTTCATTTCATACTTACAGCTTGAGACCCAAGTCTATTAACTTAGAGCTTTTCAGATGTTCTGCTGAGTTATAGTTACTGATTTGTAACATATTTTATTTTGTAGGCTTTTGGATCTGACAAGGAGACTACATTGAGATCCTTATTTCAAAGTGACAGAAAGATGATAAGGAGTTTGAATCAATGGCGGGTTCTCTTTTCTGGGTGGTGTGTAGTGTTGGAGATACAATTTATATACATTCATGTGAACAGGATAACTCGTATGCATTCAAGTTAATATGAATACTACTGGAGATACAATTTATATACTTTGTTTGGCAACACCTTGCTTTTATTGTATTGACTAGCCTTTTCTGATACCTGCAACTCTGGATTATATTGATTTTTGGCCAAAAATTCGGAACTGGATTATATTGTATCACAGCGGTGTGCAGTGTTGGAGAAATATTTCTTTCTCTGTGCTTCTCCTGGTGCATTTTGTGGTTTTGGCGTAAGCATTCTTGTTCTTTTGTAAATATTCAGTTATTCCTGCATTCTTCCTCATGTTTCACAGTGATTGTCGCCATGCTATATCAATAAGTGATTAGTTTGATTCTTGCAATAGAGGATTGGAATGCGAGAGAAGGCTGAAAGTTGAAACTTGAAAGTACTGTGAGTTGAGATATTTGTTTAGTCTTTGTCACCTAATGAAGACAATGTGAGCTTGTATGTGCTATTTGCTGGCTTCAACTGGCATCTCAATACTCTTGGAGATGTCCACAAGTCTGCCAATGGCTCCAGCATCTAAAACTTGGTCACTGTCTCAGCATCTTTAACGATTTCAGCCTCTAATGGTGAGGTTTTAGTAAAAACCTCCTTAGCCTAAAAACTAAAAACCATTGTGGGTCATTGGATCTATCTCATCCAATGGTTGATATTAGATCTTATACTGCAGTGAATCCAGATTCAGTGATGACAATAAATGCCATTATTAAAGAGTGTAATAAATTTATTTGCCATTAAAGAGTGCAATAAATGTCATTATTCTTTAAAAAAAACACTTCACATAACCGAATCTGGATTCACTGCAATAAATATCATTATTCTTCAAAAAACAAACACCTCACATAACTGAATCTGGATTCACTGCAGTGAATCGAGATTCACTCATACGTGTCTTCGTTTTTTCAACTGGAAATCATCTGTGACGCCCCTGGGTTCACACAAGGCTGCAGTCCAAAGTGAAACCAAGAATGTCAAACCTGCCATGCACCATACCGTGCAATAACATGTTTCACCATCACAATTAACATCTATCTAGTAGAGTCAACAATAGGTGTAGGTACAAAAGCAAGTAAAAGATAGTGCAAGAAGTAACTGATGAAGTGAAAGTGATCCCATTAATATCTCATCATCCAACATACAGAAATACATAGTCAATATCTGAATAGATAACTGAAATACTCAACAAGTCTCAAATACAAATATCCGACAAGAGGAAATAAGGCACAAAACCTTTACAACTTCTAGAATAAGATTCTCAAATGTCTAACAAAACTACAGTGGAGCTCCAAAATAAAACATAGCTAAAATAGACAGCTGAACACTAAAGTGTGTCGCCATCAACCTGCGACTTTCCGGGCTCCTGGCTCGTTACCTAAAAGGGGGAGGGACAACGAGCGTCAAAGTGCTAGCGAGCAACATCACAACCAACCCCAAGGGAACAGGGCTCGTTGTATAAGAAATACAGTTAATACATATAGATCTAAAATCATTGATCTTACTAAAGAGGATTTTAGTGTTTAGAAATTTACAACACGAGCATAGGTACATCGAGCGAAATAATCCAAACAAGGAAACCCTCATGTATATACCTTGTATCTCAAATTGTAAATCCCTAAAATCTAAACCCGAGGTTCTAGTACATGAAACAATAATAAAAGGAATACAACTAATCTCAGAGCATAAATACAGTGCCATATCATAGCTTACATGAGTATCATGTTATAACTTACATGTATGTCATGTTATAATCTACATAAGTGTCATGTCATAAACTCCTGTGAGAAAGTCATATACAGGGTTAAGAAATATGTCCGATACAGGAACTAAATACTGTGGTTTCCAAACACATGGAATAAGTGGCAAATGTCCAACACGAGGACTGAAATAGATTATAGTCCAACACGAGGACTTATATGGATTATAGTCTAACACGAGGACTGTGTAACTGTGAAAAGTATATGTGGAAAGATATACGTAATCTAAACTCACCCGCATCTCGGTGTACATGTCTAAACTTATGTCAAAAGTCAGCCCACATGTACAGATAAATCATTAACATGGTAAACTAGGGTCAGGTTATCGAGGCGACCCCGAAAAACAACTCAAACAGATCAAAAATCTGTAAAACAGCTCATCAGTCGACTGATGACGTCGGTCGACTGATATGTCGACTGATAAGGTTCAGGCAGCACAGCCTCAGCTCACCAGTCGACTGATCAGTCGACTGAGAAGCTGAGAAAACAAAATCAGCCCGTCAGTCAACTAATCAGTCGACTGATGACTGAAAATTTCAGCCCGTCGGTCGACTGATCAGTCGACCGATTGACTTTAGAAACTCTGCACAGGCTATTTTTCACCCAAAATTTTGATCCAAACTCATCTCCATCAATCCCAAGCATGAAAAATGCTGATATCAACATATTTGCACTAAACTGAAATGAAAAATCACATAGAAACATTTATCAAAAACCTTAAACACATAAAAACATGTTTAATACGTTTTGAAATCAATAAATCATGAAATAACTCTTGTCAAACGTTTTTTCAGATCTAGATCTCTTTAATAAAACATTGATGATCTTTTTCTAAACTGAGAAACTCAATACTTCACATCATATACCATAAAGATTTATTCTTTGTACTAAAAATACGTTTTTGGCTCAATAAAAACTCATTAAACTCAATAAATTCGTGTAAAACAAAAAGGACAGAGTTGGGAGAGATGTTACTCGCCTTTGGGTGATGAACAACTCCTGGATCTGAGAGAGAGTGGATCCCCTTTGCTGCAATGAGAAGATTTCACCGAAAATCCTCCAAGTTCTCCCCCAAATCACCAAGAACAAAATTAGGGTTTAAGATAGGGGAGAGGGGGCTAGGGTTTTCTCAGTTCTGAAGATGAGGGGGGTGATTTCGGGTGAGAGGGAATATATACGAACAGTTAAACCCGAACCAAATCAAAACAGACCCGAAACCTGAAAAACTGGAAATCAGCGTATCAGTCGACTGATGTGTCGACCGATACAGTCAGTCGACTGATGTGTCGACTGATCTGGAAAAATTTAGTTTTTTGTGCATGTTTTACTTATTTACAAAACCAACACACAAAACTCTACACCCAAACTCTCATATCATCTCAAATAACTTATTATAATGTATATCGATGACCTCAAGCTATTTATCATAAAAGAATTATTTATTTACTAATAATTCACATATATTCATATAAAAATTACGGGGTTCTACATCCTCACCCTATATATGAGTGAATCTAGATTCACTATAGTGAATCCAAATTCACTAGAGTGAATCGAGATTCACTGTAGTGAATCCAGATTCAGTTATATGAGGTGAAACTGGATTCGTTGGATTGAATCTAGATTCAATCCAGTGAATCTGGATTCATTGGTTGTTTGTTGTCCCCTATTTATTACACTCAGTATAATAATGATGTTTATTACACTCTTTAATGATATTTAGTGCAATAAATAGGTTTTTAGTTTTTAGGTTAAGGAGGTTTTTCTTAGGAGTGGCACTACAAGCATACTCTCCACCACACTCTCCACCACACCCTCTCTCCTGCTACAGTACATGAGGCCCACCTGAGATTTTTTAAAAAATCTCAGGTGGGCCCCCCTGCACTGTAGCAGGAGAGGGGGTGTAGTGGAGAGTGTGGTGGAGAGTGTGCCTGTAGTGTTTTTCTTTTATTAGAAGCTCATCGTATATATATATGCACACACTGGTTCGTACTCTGTACTACTGTCACCACCCAGTAACTTTACCGTACGCTAGGTACAACTATTCACACTCCCAAACAGTAACTTTAGGGTGTGTGAGGACTAAATTGTCATTCTCTCAAATCAAACCAGGCCAAGACCAAAAGGGCATTTTTGGCAATCCGACTCCCAAAGTTACTGTTTAGGAGTGGATATAGCAAACATGCTCACTCTGGGAGATTCTTCTCTCTCTCAAATTTTCAAGTTCTCGAAAGCGCCATTGATAAGAGGAAGCTTTGGGGAGATTTTGGACGAAGGAAATGAGTAGGCGATGAGCTGGTGTTCTCTCCTCCCTTCGATCCAGATAGCGATGTCCGTCGTTATCTCCCCCTACGAAGTAGGAAGCCAAACTAAAATTCTCAAAACCCCCTGTTTTTTTTTTTAAAAAAAAAAGGGGAAGAAAAGATAAATCCACAGAGAAAAAGTTGGAGACGTGTACGACAATCTTGGTTGGAGTTCCACCACGTGGGCGACTTTGTTGCAAAAACCCTAATGGCTACCTGGGGTTTTTAAAGCCTCCCAACTTTTTTCATGCTTCTCACCTGAAACTCTCTGCTCCCTTTTATTTGGTGTAGAATTTAGGTAAAAGGTTGGATTTTGGGTTCTGGGTCTTGCAGAAATTTGAGGGTTTTGCTCTGGTTCTTGGATTAGAGCTCTGAGATCGAAAGGTAACATACTTTCTCCTCTTTTATTATTTTTCACGCAGAGTTGTATAAATGCGTTAATTTCCATAGTAACACGCCCATGATTAATACTCAATTTAGTAAATTTTTTCAGAAAATGGTCACTAGAACAGTTGTAGACCTTCGATCTGACACTGTCACCAAGCCCTCTGAAGCAATGCGGGCTGTGATGGCGACCGCCGAGGTCGAAGATGAGGTTTTAGGCTTCGATCCCACAACCCACTTGTTAGAGTCTGAGATGGCGAAGGTTACAGGGAAAGAAGCAGCCCTTTTTGTGCCCTCGGGCACAATGGGGAACCTGATATCGATCATGGTTCACTGTGAGATTAGAGGGAGTGAGATCATACTTGGTCATGATTCACATATACATGTTTATGAGAATGGAGGGATATCTACAATTGGAGGCGTGCACCCGAGAACAATCAAGAACAATCCTGACGGTACCATGGACCTGCGTGCGATCGAAGCAGCAATTAGGCAGCCTGCGGATGTGGTTTACTACCCAACGACGAGGTTAATTTGTTTGGAGAATACACATGCTAAGTGAGTATCCATTTATCATACTCTTTGTTATACTTTTGGTCTTCATGCTTATATGGCGATTAAAGTATATTGACATCTCACCATTTCATAGCAGATGTTGTTTAAATGCGTTTGGTTTACTGCTGCATCACTTTCTTGATATAACCAAATTACATTTGTATAGATGATTAATTTCAGTTACACCCCTGTACTGTGGTGGTGCAGACACTCATGTTCCCCTAAACTATTTTATTAGGACTTGTGTTTTCTGAATCTGCACCACTATCTTTTGTCCTCAATTTAGAGAGCAATTTAAAAAAAATTTGGGGTAAATTGAGGGTAAAAGGTAATTTGTTGTTACGTGATTCCCACGTCACATGTCGACCAAACAGGAAAAATAGTGTTATCTGGAGTTTAAGGGGTGTAACTGTGTACATGCTATGAAATAGCTTCGGGTGCAAGTGGCTCGTCTCATAGTCCATGGTTGTATCTGCAATCAACCCTTTTTAATTTAGTTATTCCAAGACCTTCTGCATTGAATATGTTTATTGTACCTTTGCTGACTTCACTAGGTGCATCCCACTTGTGGTATTTGTATCCTACTTTTGGCAGAATATATATCTTTGAAAGTAGTGGGGTGGGGGGTGGTAGTGCGAAGTATGAATGTTGCTCTCACCCAAAATTATGCTCCATTGGTGTCTATTACATATATTCTGTTTGGTTATTTATGTGGATGGAGTTTCAGGAAAAGATACCCAATGTTTCCATTAGGAATCTTTACGCAATTTCTTGGACAGAAAGCATCGCTCCGTCTGTGTCTAATTAGGCCTGAGAATCATCATATAGAAGTATCATATCAGCAAGTAATATTCACTAATCTTGGGAAATTGACCTGCCACCTATTGTTTTTCCCCCCTTCCAATTTCTGGGGATTAAAGATGATTCTGAGATAAGAGAGTGGTACTTTAACGCCAGGAAAAACTTGGGGCGCTATTTGATTCTTGAAGATGAAGGGAAATGCTTTAAGTTAAGGATGCTTAAAGATGTTCTTGTATTCTCCAAACTACAAAGCAGTGACACTTGTTCTCCTGTCCTGTAAATATCCATGATGTTCTCTTAATAGTTTTTTCTTAATGGAAGATTAAATTAATAATAATAATAATAACTACTCAAATAGATTACTTGTGCAACATCGGCAAGTTGTTCAATGATCCATATTCTTGTATAGGCTTGATGGTAGGCCTTTGAGTCTTTCTTTAAGTTGCTGGGGAGCGTGAAGGATACCCTTTTTTTAATTGCATGTTGTGCACTGCACATGGCTTTACCTTGTGTTCTTTGGTACCCTTCATTTATCTGACTTTTCTTATATGGATAAAGTTACTAACAGATAGCATAACTACGTATATTCATTCTAGGACACACGTGTCTGATGCTCGATATTGAATATTAAAATTCATTATTTATGATTCTCACTACATATTGTGGCTCTCTAGGTATTGCAGTTAAGCTTATAATAATAACAACAACAAACGCTCGAGTCCATTTTTCTCGTGATTTTTAATATACACTATCTCGTGCTTTATTGTTCGGGATAAACCCTTTATTAATTTATCATTGTACTGCTTGATTGTTGCTCATCCACTTCCATGACCTTTTTGTTGATTGAATATTAAGCAACCTTATTTCTTTGTACCCCGAATTTGCTGTAGCCTTTTGGATGTCAATGGGGCCTTATGCACTATCACTTGATCTGAATCGGATCAAACTTTTTGGATTTGGATCATTAAAAGTAGATTTTACACTAATAGGTAGCTATCGTTTGGTACTACTCACACAACTGGCTTGTTGGATCCATACATTGATCTTTGAGATTGTTAGAATTAAATATTGGGTTATCGGGTTAAGACCCAATAACCTATTACTCATTTGTACTCCTATATATATGGACCCATGAGGAGAAACACTAATACAATTTCTGTTTTACCATTTCAACATGATTTTAGAGCCGTCACACTCCAAACCCTAAAAAAAATCACGGTTCTATTCTAACCTCTGCCGCGGACGAAGTCCGCCGCCGCCTCTATCCTCACCGTTCGAAGTTCTACTTGACCTACCTCCTACCAGCATGCCTCTTGTGCCCGACGAAGTCCCGCCGCCACTTCTATCCTCCATCAGAGCTCTTGTCGACTCCACCGACGCTAGCCATCCAATTTCGCTTACAAGCGCCATATCTCTTCATCCCCAGGGCTCAGCCGACGCCACGACGCCTGTTCCCTTCTTCTCGTGGTGCTCGCCGACCCCAGATCTATTCCGTCGACGCTCCCGTCTTGTCGCTAGATCTAGTCGCCGACCCAGATCTCGTCGCCCGTAGCGCTGAGCCGTCAGTCTACGGTCTGCCGTGTCGCATCACTGACTCTCCCTTTTTCTTCTCTCGATTTTTTGTTTAAGCTACTGTATTCTTTTTTATGTTTGTTGATTGAGCTTTTTGTTTGCTGGTGTCTGTTTTGTTGAAGTGAGACTGAGCAGGAGTGATGTTGCTTGGCCGTTTTAGTGAAGTGAGGAGGGTGTTGTAGAATTGTACAACACTTTAACAAAAAAAAAAAATAATCAAATATATTAATTATATATATATATAATATATATATAGTAATATATATATATTATATAGGTGTTGTTGTGTGTGTGTGTGTGTGTGTGCTGTACAAATAAACTACCTATCGACGGTTTTCTATTCTAACCTTCGGGTTATAACCCGGGTTCTGACCTTCGGGTTCTATTCTAACCTTCGGGTTTCTGTTTTAAACCTTCGGGTTTTATACAATAAGATTGTGATCCTCCTGCTATTGTACTATTATGTTCTATAACAATGACAGGATCTGACATCTCTTCTGTTGCTATTACTACCCCTACTACTGCTGAGATCTCTGCCCCCAAAGTTGTACTGAGACTACGGTGAAGTTAAATGGCACCAACTATCTACTTTGGGCACAAGTCTTCCGCATCTTCATTGATGCTCAGAATAAATTAGCTCATCTTCTGGCCCCACCTCCAGCATCTACAGATCCTACGTATCCCGCGTGGATCTCCAATGACTGTTGTGTGATGACTTGGCTTCTTAATAGCATGGAAGCCCAGATAAGTAGTAGTGTCATGTTCTCGAACATTGCTAAGGAGATGTGGGATAATTTAAAAATTATGTACGGGTGTTTGTGGAAAATTTGGAGTAAAAAGAATGAAAGAAATTTGATTTGTATTCTCTCGATCTTAAATACAATTGGATTTCTTGATTACAAAAGAGAGGAGAATGATCTGGATTCCCCCCTTTGTTTAAGTCTGGGTTCTTCACGGTGGCGAAAACGATATTATCTTCTATTTGATTCTTGACAACCCCAGACAGTTCATTCACAAGCAGATATGTAGAAGCAGCACACCCTCAGTGTAAGGAAACGATGGAAACCGGAGATAGGTAATTAATTCATCTAGTATACACACACAATGGATACCACAATCTGGAAACATAGTCATATGATCCAATTCATAATGGAAACCATTAAAAGACAAAAATTTACTAGTGTTTTAACACAATGGACCCCCGATCTGGTCATGTCCAATTAATGATGTATTCACCATCCATATATCTTACAATTTAAGACGGCCTGCAAGTCTAATTGTACGTGACCCAACCCAACCTCTGTTCCTCTACTATTGTGGTCGTAAACGTGAAAACTATTATATGCATCATTTAACTTGCTTTTGTGTAAACATTGTAAAATAATTCTCTGTTGATTGTGCTTAGTTAACCTACTGTTCAGCTGCATGCTTTGTTATTCCTGCTATCTGATACTTGCAACTTCCATACTTTCTGCAGCTGCGGCGGGAGATGTATCTCTGTAGAATATACAGACAAAGTAGGAGAGCTGGCAAAAAAGCATGGTTTGAAGCTCCATATTGATGGTGCACGTATTTTTAATGCTTCTGTTGTGAGTATCTGAATTCTGAAGCTTCCATAATGTTAGGGGAATGGTCTTAATTCGTAAAGTGATATTCACATCAAGACCTTTTTCTATTTGATGTAGTTCATTCTTTCCTAGTTACCACTTATTGCGTTGAATCATGTTGTGCATGTCCTGGAAAAGTTGTACATTAGTTTTAATGTTATAACTGTTTATATTTTAATTCATAAGTTGAAATATGCGATGGAACAAAACGCGGACTAACTATACTGTGTAAATTCAAAATCACATATTGTTCTTTCAGTCACTGTCCTCATTTTAGTCATAGATCCAAATATGCATCATAGCAAAGTGGATGATAAATTAAGGCCATGTATTTTATTTAGATCACATGGATCCTTGCTCATACATGGATGTTATGATAGCATCTTCTGATACCCCTTTTGCGTATTTTTCTTTCATTCAAATATTTTGACCAGTGTCTTCGTCTCATCTTTCTATGCTATCTGTGGGTTTGTTATTCCAGGCAATGGGTATTCCAGTTCACAGGCTTGTAGAATCTGCTGATTCTGTTTCGGTATGAATGAGATTCCTTAATTTCCTAGCTATTGTTTAAATTTCATTTCTTAGCCCTAACCCGGATTTCAATAATCATGTCAATATCATTATCATTATCAGTATCCTTTTAGCATAATTTCAACAGCCGAAATGTACTCTTACCTTTGCTTTCTTCTTTTATTTGCATATCTAATTTTGTATCTGTGATGAGCTAACAGATATGCTTGTCAAAAGGTTTGGGTGCTCCAGTTGGATCTATTATTGTTGGATCAGAAAGTTTTATTGCCAAGGTAATTTGTTGGATTTTTCTATTGAAATTGTATACACCATTGATCATCAGTATCAGAAAAAATTATTGCCAAGTTATTTATTTTTTAATTCATTCTCTGACTTCATTTCAGGCTAGAAGGCTTAGGAAAACCTTAGGTGGAGGGATGAGACAAGTTGGAGTTCTGACTGCTGCAGCTTATGTTGCTCTAAGAGATAATGTAAGCAAGCTTGAGGATGATCACAGGAAGGCAAAGATACTTGCAGGTCATATTTATTCTCTGGTTTATGTGCCAAATTTTGCCTCTTTTCAGTTAAAATATAACGCCCAATATCTTTTGTTGCATAAATATCTCTGCATTATGAAGTTATTATGAAGTTCTTTTTATTTGATAATTATGAAATACTGACTATCAGTCTGGTTTAATTATTTAGATGGACTGAGTCAAATCAAACAACTATCTGTAGATACAACCTCAGTGGAATCAAATATGGTTAGTCACCCAGAGCTTTTTGCTGACTGATCTTTCAGATGTCAATGTTTAAGATTAGGAATAGATTTTTCCATATGGAATACCATATACTAAACATGGTCATGATGTTTTTTGCTCGTCTCGTGGATAGGTATTTTTTGATATCATAGGAAGCTCAGCTATATCACCTGAAAGGCTTTGCGAAGTCTTGGAAAAACATGGGGTCCTTGCAATGCCAGCAAGCTCAACTAGGTGCATCTCAGTTCATTTCTAGAAGTTGATTTTGGTTTATGATTTTCTTCTTAATGCAATTTTTTCTTATTTTTCAAGCAAATTTATATTGGTAATAAATCCAGATGCACTCTTTGCATGCAGCATGACTAAGTCTCAGCACATTGCTGAGTTCTGTTAATTGCATGAAGGGAAATTATTTACTAATATAATGAACAAACTATTTGCTTTAGTTCTCACTTGATATATGAGTTGCAATTTTCTTTAAGAGATTTTAAAAAATACTACTAAGGTGCACAAAAGACACCTGAGGATTTTGATTGCTGATGATGTTTTATAGAAATCCTATTAAATGGTTCATATCTTACAGTAGCAAGCAATCCTATTGCCAAACTTCAAAACTCAGATATGCAATAATTAGTTTATGGAGTCATTTCTTTCCAAGCACATTTCCTATTTTCAACCTTATTTTGAGTAAATGAGAGAAACTATTTATATAAAGTTTGCATGGTGTGCTTCGAATTATGGGGGAAAAAAGAAATCGGTTGGAATCATTAAGAAGTATATTATAGAAGAAAAAAAATATAACAATAGTTAACATATGAGATGATATATAACAACAGAACTGAATAAATAAAGAATAGGATTCATGCAAGCGACTCCATAATTTTAGCGCAAAAGCTTTATTGTTATTGTCGTAGTTGTATGTAGTAGCTGAGCAATGTGCGAAAGATACAGAACAGCCGGAGAATTAGACCATGTTAGTTGACTGTTGTTTAATATTATTCTCAGTGTCCGGCTGGTTCTCCATTATCAGATCTCAGAGACCGATGTTCAGTATGCCCTGACATGCATAAAGGTAATTTTGCAAAAAGACTATTATACTGTTCTTGATTTTATAAAAAAAATGATACGTCTGCTTAATGGTGTGATGACCTTCTCTCTTTTCTTAATCTTTTCAGCAAGCTGTTCATCAGATATCAAACGGAGTTATGCCAAAACAAGATGCATAAGTCATCAATTATCCCTCCGTTCTTCTCGCAAATCTCACTTATTTCAAGTTAAACTTGTGCAAAATTTCCATTCTCTAATTCTAAAAGATCAATGTGTGTGTTAGTTCAGAACCATCTTCAGCTTTGTTATTCCAATGAGAAAAGTTTCTTACCCATCATCCATATTCTCTGTGACCCTGCGGTTCATTTTCTGTGGTTGCATGATTATTTATATAAATTAACTAGTTGTACATATGGACCCAATTGCCCAACTAGATGACGAGGATAACATGGATGGATTGTGTTTAGTTGCGTAAATATACAGGAACTTAATGCGGTTGATTTTAGTTGATGCCCAGATGAGCATAAAATGAGAACCCATATATGGATGGATCAGGTTCTCAGGCTCTCAGCTCATGTATAATATCATCAGTAGATTTTGTTTACTAAAAAGTTTGGAGTACTACTATCGTTTTGTGAAAACCAAAAACTAGTCAGTACTTAATTTATAGTGTAGACTGAGGGGGAAAAACATCGAGTTCAAATTCCCTCGTCAAAATTCAAGAAGAAAGTATATTCATCTAATTTGTATTTTGGATTGTTAGAGCTTATTGAATGACAAAACAAAGATACAATATTAAGCAGGGAAAAGCCTACTCGCTAAAAATACAAAACTAGTCGTTGAGAATCACAGACACCATCATATCGTACCTTAAAGCTGTTAAGCAGGCAAAAAGCTCAAACGCAATGTCCTCGCTACCAATATCATGGTACAGGGTGATGATATATATGTCCAGATACAATATTATCGTATCATGTACATGTTCGTTAGTTCTAAACGGTAGCATTAAGGATAAAGATTGCATATCCAAAAACATAAGGATGTTCCAGAAAAGGAAAAAGATGAATTTTCTCGAATATGAAATAATACATTGAAGCCAAAACTTATCCTTTACCTACATTTTCTAGATCTCAGGATACAAATAAGTATCCTGCTTGTCTTGCCAGCAGAAACACTACAGTCAGGTTTACGTTATTGTCCTCTAATCAATCCGTACAGCAACAAAAATAATAATGTAGATAGTGATACAAATACATTGCAGTAGTAGCTGATTATTATCATAATGCTTCTTCCCACGCAAGAATCCAACAGAGCACCTCGAGTTATTGAAGTTATGCTAGCGCAGATCAGGCTAGTGCTTTTTATCACCAACAGCAGAGCATCAAATACGCAAGAATGCTACCGATATGGCTTCAAATAGTTGAAAAAGTACAGCAGAAGCATCAGTTAATAAAGCCACCGCCGGCAAACTCAACCTCCTGTGGCAAGAAACACAAGTTATGAGTATCATGGCGGTTCACTCTTTCATAAGATGAGGGGTGCACACCCACAAAAGTCGATCAACTGCAGAATTGAAATTTTCTCTTTTTCTTAAAAGCACATTAAATTCATTCACATAGAGTAAGATGATGGAAACACCATCAGATGAAGAAATTCACTAATCTGCCAATTTAAGTCTAAATCTCTTGGGCACGCATTACTTTCTAATTTGTGAAATTGATTAATTGGTCTACTGAATTCATAAAGAACTTTAATGAAGCTCTGCTAGCGGAGGGACGAGGGAATATTTCACAGGCCATGAGCATTGATATGATCTAGGAAAGCCAAGCTAGTAGAACTACAGACTATGGTCAAAACCCAGAATCTGATCTACGCTATTTCCATTCTCAGCTCAAGCTGACAAGCAAAGGGGAATTGAACAAAGACAGAATGTTGGGACATAGGATCGACATGGTTCTTTTTAAGATGTAAATAACCGAAATACACAGTCTCACACAAGCTGTGTTTAAACGGATGGATACTGATCCTAGAAAAGTATCTTGTAATCAGCCTCAGCTTAATTATCACGTAGTGTTTAAACGGATGGATACTGATCCTAGAAAAGTATCTTGTAATCAGCCTCAGCTTAATTATCACGTAGAATAATGACAACTTCATTCTATTAACATAAAATACTAACAAAGCTTCTGACAACAGGTTTGGCATAAAACCACCTTACTATCAGCAAAGTTTTCCAAACTTCAAAATAAATGATTGTTTGATATCGTTAAAGGGCTAACATAAAAATTGACTAAAAGCAAAGTTACAACAAGGTTAGGTAATAACAGGAGGGTCTTGACATGTCCTCACAGCGCAGCTGTTTAACGGCAACGAAAATACATTTATTTTCACAGGAATATTAATTGTTGACCAGGAACCACCGTATTCTATCACAGCTCACAACCTTTCTATCATAAACACACACAAAAAAAGAAATGTAGAATTCACATATTCACGGCGACAGCTAAGTTTGAGGAAAGTGAATATACATTAAGAAACTACTACAGCCTAAAAATAAAAGAAGAAAGACTTTCAGACTTAAGAATTAACATAAGCCTGTTCATCATGCAACACATGCATAAATTTTCTTGGGGAAAAAAGTAAAAACACTTGAGAGTTACACTCAAGATAATGAATTGACCGGAACCAAAGAGAATCAGGCATGAAACAGATTAGAATAGTGAGCAACATCCCTCCATGTGCGGACATCGACAACCCACATGCAATTATATTGAACAATCCGTACATTTTATATAGAAAAAAAATAACTCTAGCAACAGCAAACACGACTTATGTGTTAAATCAAAGAATATTTGACATGTGGAACTATCTTTTGTGCCAACCAAATATTACAAGAAAAGAGCACAAAGCAACAGGAGGACCACTGAGCCCAATTAAATATAGGAATAACGTAATACCTGAGCAGGAGATAGTGATGAAACCCAATCTGATGCATGAGTTGGAAGAAGACCAAGTGTGTTTAGCTGCCAAAAAAAAGGAAAATAGAAAATGGTGCACAATGATTCTATGTTCAATATATAAAATTGATATCATAAAATAAATTCGAGTTGGTATAACTCACCTTCCACACGCCCAACGCGAGCCCAGCGAGGTTCAGGGCAATGAAGACTAATTTGGGTGCTAGAGTGTCTACTTTTGAATCTTTGTAAGGTTCAAACACTGCAAGGAGAAATTGCAAATAATAATAGGGCAGATACAAGGCTAACCAACGTAACAACAATGGATAAGGTCTTTAATAAGACCATGCTTAAACATACCATATATGATCAATAAGATATATCACTATATAAAAAAGCACTACATCCCCAAAACATCATCAGTAATTCAATAGCAACAAATTCATACCCATTTGAATCTACATGCCTACTAGGGCTGTAATTATATAATGCGAAGAATAAATAAATAAACATTATATATAGGGCTACTGCAAGCAACCTCCTTCACTTGTGACTGTTTCTGAAATAACCAAAAAGACCCCTCAACTATTAACAAACCTTGATTAATGACAACTTTGCATTTTTAGTATGTACCAGTAAGAAACATGTAACAAAGGCATAACTAATACAAATGTAATTGTGTACTACGGATTCATAGTCCTATAAAACTAAAATAAATATAAAGAATAAAAGCACACCTTTCCCCACACTTTGAAGGGCACTTATTGGCTGCCAAAGAGCTGAGAATGTGATACCAATACTAAACAAGTGCACTGTGCTTCCAGCCATCCACATCATGAAGCCCATCATCATCAAGTTCTTGAAAGGGGCTTGAGCGACTTCCCAAGCTTTCTTTTCGCCCAGAAAAGGAACAAACAGATGCATTAGATGTAACCGTCGTAAGTAACTCAATTGCAGCATATAAAAAAGGTACATACGGGCACAGGGGCAACAGAACAAGGAGGTATCATTTGGCAAAGGGTTAAGTGAGGGGTTAAGGAGACTTAACCCCTTCTTAACCGCCAAACACAAAAAAATCTATATAAGGATTAAAGTGAGTTAATCCTCTATAATTTGCCAAACATAAAAAATACAGAAGAGTTAAGCTAACCCCTCTAGAGGGATTAAAATGAGTTAACCTCTCAAAATGAGGGGTTTACTAATACTCATATTTAGAAGGATTAAGAGTTAACCCTTCTAATTATAAAGAAAATGGTCAAAATCATTGTTATTCCCGAACACTAAGACTGATCACAAGGGCTAAAATAAAACTTATTTAACGGGTTAATAATTTAGTCCTTCAAAATTATCGAATGGACTAAAGTACATTAATTTTTCTATTTAACCCTTTGGCAAACGGGGCCGGAGGGTTTCAGCAGTACAATCCTAGAGCATACAGATTCATCATTCCAGCAAACAAAGTTAATGAGTCCAGCAAATGAAGAAGAAAGAAGCAAACACATCATTTGAAAAGGGACATGCCTAAAAGAGCAAAACTGCAGCAAGAGATATTACTGCAAAGGCTCTGCCACCCTACTTCCCCCTAAACCATTAAATTTGTCCCTTCTCTTATCCCCTGGAATTATACATGACAATGACTCTAGAAGATCAAAGAAAGTTGGATTCCTTAAACCGAATCAAAAATTATTAGGGCACCAAAATTCTAACCTTGTTTATTACTTCGAGATTCAAAACTAAGCCCTAATTAACCAAAATAAGGAAAACCCTAGGATTTCAGCACGCACCTGCGACTTCCAAGCGACCTCGGCGTCCTTTTTCTGACGGCTCGTGTTCGCGTCGTCCTGGAAACAAAAAAGCCCTAAATAATTCACCAAAAATTCAAAAAAAAAGGGAAAAATTAAAAGACGAAGAAGATAGAGATGAAATTGGAACTGGATCTTGATGAGGAGATCGATTGAATCCGGGAGGATCGGCGATATCCGATGTGTAGGAGTGATCCTCGAATTGTACCGCCCATTTACGAGCCAAACTCTTGCCCTTCTCCATTTTTTTTTAAATTTTATTTGATGCTAACTCAAGAGATCGAGTGGAGAATGGGACTCGATCTTTTCTCTGTCGTTCGTTGAGGTTTTTTTTCTAAAAAAAGATATTTATGGGGAGAAGATCCAGAGCCCTTGGAGTTCTGTTCTGCTCACTCGCGGTTGACTTTAATACGACGGCTCTAATTAAACCTACGAGTTATTCGCACATTATTAGGAACGATCATTAGGGTAAACTCGAACCCAAAAAAAGGCCCAATAACTTTGGGCCGTATCGTACGAAGCCCCTCAATATAATATCCGTCCAGCAATTCATGATCAATTTCATACTCTGAATTAGGATCCCAATTCTTGATATTTTGAAAATTAGTTCTCCGAATCTTTATATTTTCAAATTAGACGCCAAAATCTTTTAAATATTTTGAAATTAATCTATCTAGGTAGCTACTGGTTGAAAGATTTGGGAGAATAATGTCAAAATCTTGTAAATATTTTAAAATTAATCTTTCCAGTTAGATGCTGGTTATAAGATTTTGGGGGAATGATTTCAGAACGATCAAAGAATTCGAAGGTCTAGTTTGAAAATACAAGTATTTAGAGGACAATCTCAAAACAATTAAGATTTGGGGGCTTATATTGAAATAACCGTAGAAAATAGGTAAGACTAGAAAACTTTCGAAGTAAAGATCAGAAGATCTAACCTTGCCCTGTGTGCGAAAAAATAAGAGAAAAAGAAAGGAAGTTCAGGATTTGATGGAAAAGCTAAGGGGTTTTTAACGTACTCCTTACTATGAGCTATATGCATAATAGTCCTTGAACAATGACATTTCACTAAGATCGTTTACAGTAAACATCGTATCTTCGGTCTCAGCAGTGAAACAAAAGAAGTAACATGGATCACGCTCTTATAACAATTGAGCTCACAAATACAAAGTTCATGAAGAATTAGAATTACAAAATTCAACCACTCATATGACTTTGGTTTCACATCCGCAATACAAATGCACAGTAACATATACATTAAGGGGGCAGAAAAAAAATAAAAATAAAAATGAACACATTTCCCTTGCCCACTCCTACTAAGAAAAAGAGAGGAGAGCATTTGGATGTCCTTCAATATGACAGAGAAATGATACACTCCGACGACTCTCACCAATAAGAATCACAAGAATAATGATATCGAACGTGCACCGAACCAGAGCATAATTCACACTTAAGCTAATTTTCATTGTGCAACTCCTGATAAGCTTTGCATCTTTCATCTGTTACTATCAGGTCACAGCAGTGAAATGTAGGTCAAGAGGCATCAAAGCACCTTGAACTATCTCTTGAACTTTTCTATTGCGTCTACAGACATCTGAGAGCTCTTCGAGGGTATCAGTGAGTGCAGAAGTATTTGATCCAGATGCAGCATTTGAGAGAGCCTGAAGGAAACTTGCACTTTCCACCTCTGTTATGGCTGCAGATGGTATTAGTGAAAGGCTTCCCTTTGCCCACTCCAACACCTTCATTCCGTATGTTCTTGTTAGGGCTAGAAGGACATAAGAAACCTGAGAAGATAAATTCAAAAGAAAAAAAATAAATACAATTAGGGGACGGATAAGTTGATACATTATATAATTAAGGGTTTTTTTTTGTACACGCGCCTTAAATCATGCTTATTTGCAGAACTACACCTAAAATCTGAGTATTTGTAAAACTGCCCCAAATTCGCCAGCTTTGAACCAAATCAACAAATCATCAACTTTGTCAGACACCACAAGTGAAAATTTGACTATTTTGTTGATAACATTGCACTGAGAAACTTATCCTATCAAAGTTGATGATTTATTGATTCGGAAGGTATTCATTTTCCAAAGTTGATGTTTTGGGGGTAGTTCCGCAAATACTTGGATTATGTGGTAATTATGCAAATACATTACTTAAGGGGTATATATACAAAAAAGCCCTATTATTAAACAGGGTAGTAATACGATCCAACTAAAGACAAACCTCTTCTAGCCTGGAAGATGGGAGTGCTCCGGTTAAGGAGGCTATCAATATTCTAGTGAGGGTGGCACCTCTAGGAAGTACCACACCGTCAATAATTGAACGGTACTTTTCACCAGCAGAAGAGTTTGCAAGATCAAGCACATCGGATAAAAATGTCAGTATAGATTTGCAAGCATCTCTGCACCAGTATCAAAGAGAATTAAAATAAGAACATCAATTTTGCAGCTTCTACTCAAATGCTTGATAAATTCTAAACAATAAAGAGGATCACAAAGAAATTCTAGTTACCTATGTTGAATAGTAGCGCCAATCATTGAGCAGTCAATTAATGAAGGAAATACAGAAGAAGGAATAAATAGATGAGGACAATAACGAATGCATCTTGAGGCCAACAAAAAACAGTCATCTGCTATGTCAGGTCTTTCTGTGAAATCCTGTAAGACATCGAAAGTAAGTAAGTTTAACAACCGTGTAAGCAGAATTCTTTTAGGTTTGCAGGATGGAGAAAACCGGATTATGAAATTTAATTACTTTAATCGTCATAAGAAGTTTGGTTGTGTGGCTGAAAAGTGCTTCAATTAAACTACCAAGGTAGTTTGCACAAGATGGATCAGATCCGAATATCTGCCAATTAAGATGCCATCAGTAGAAACACAAATAGAATATATTGAGGTTAATTACAGTTCAGCAAATTATACTTTTATCACTTCACTTGATAGGTAAAGGAAACATGGTTGGCTGTGTTGCCGATATAAAGCTTGAACCTCTTCCAGCATAACTCCAATTGTGATCCCCATGTACCTTCCTGATGTTTTCACCTTAAAACCCATTCCAAAGCTTATGTCAGATAGATTTATAGTATAGCCATTGTTCAATTGCCGATTTATTCATTTATAAAAGTTAACAAAGTATTTGTTCAAATGACTTTGGTGACGGTGTATTTCATGCATTTAAAGAAAATAAAACAATTCACATATCTACATGTGTGAATCTTCAGTTAGATGTATAAAAGTAATGTAAATCCTCCTTCAAAAATTCAACCGAATCTGAAGCATCTATATATGCAACATGATTTTTTTTTCATTCTTCAAAGATACATCATATAAGAGGGTAAAACCGTAAAAGATAGAAATCAAGCTAGAAATGCAAATAATCTATCCTCAAACGATCTAACAGAAATAAGATATAACACACGGATAAACTGGAAATGTTTGTTCATTTAATAAGAGATGTGGGAACCTCAGAAAGTAAATTGCTAAGGAGATTTCAAAGTACAGACAGATGGAAAGTATAATAATGCCAACAAGCCACTTTGTTTATTCGTTTCTCTAGTTCTTTCTTTGATTTATTTTTCCCTCAGTTTTCATTGCATAAGTTTACAACTCAAACTTGGGACTATATACATCGTTCCATCACCATCCATTTACCACTTGGAAGGCCTCAGTGGCTTATTCTCATGAATTATCAAGACCACATACCATATTCTGCTAGTCTGATTTTCTTATCTTAATTCAGCAAAAATTCCAAAAGCATGACAGGTAGCATATCGTCCATCGAGATAATGAATCATTCACCCTTTCAAGAAGATCTTCTTGTTGGCTGTCACAGACAAAATCTTGTTAGGAGAAGGGACCACTGGTGAAACATCTTACCGAGGAGGTTAAGTCGCCACCTGACGTTCTTCATGGGTGAAGTTATATACTAAACGGAAGGTCATGTGATGGACTGGATTCTAACAAAAAGGAGATGACAATTCATTAAAATGAAAAGCATTACTCTTCACGCTAGTTATGACAAGCATATTGGCAGTTTGCACTGGAGAAGTTGGTCATAGGAATATGGATATATACCGACTGAGACAGAAATTATCCTGCAGTGCACCCCCAGAAATATAAGAACGGCTCTGACATGGATATTCCACAGACTTAAACATTAGCTACGAGTGCTATACTACCTCTGCATGAAACACCGTTTACTTGTCAATCACGAAGGCATACTATGTTCATTGGAAACCATTCAATTCCGGACCACTTTGATGCATGGAAAAATCATAGTCAAGTGTACAAATCATCCATGTAGTCATGCATGACAACTTTTTTGCCGAAGTACAGGAAGCACTGTCAAATAACCCTTTTTTGTCCATTTGCATGTCTATATGTCCATGTGATAAAACATGAGAAGAAGCCTTCACCATCACCCTATGTGCAATTCATGGAACTATCCAACAAAGAACTACCTTAACACTGAAATAGTCTTCCATGGAAGCATCAATTTCTTCATTAAAATTATGGGGCTTAAAAAATGTCTGTTCACATCAGTTGTTTTTCAATGTCTTTCAACCTTTTAAGGCAAGGCCAAATAAGAGGAAACTAACAAATATAAGGTTCAAAGACTAACATGCTTTTATACATTCAAGGGCACCTTGGGCTTTAAAAAGTTATTGCATGATGGACCCAGTATGAATCCAGCTCAACTCCATTCATATCCATTTTCCTCATTTTTCAGACTAATATTAGACTAGTAATTCCAAGAGTTATCACAACAAGTTCGCTCTAATAAACAACAAACTCAGTAATACAGTACAAATAACCTAAATTACAGGGAATACTCACAGCATATTTGCAGGCACGGCATAACGACTCCATCGCCCGCATATCCCAAGCACGACTACAGTGAAAGGACATGATCAATTAATCTTTTTTTTTGCACAAAAGCTCGGGGCCTTAGGGGAGAAGGCGGGGGGGGGGGGGGGGGGGAGGGTGGAGGGGTGGAGCGGAGGGCCGTGTGTTGTGTTTGTGGCATCGTTAGTGCCGTACATGCATGCCATTGAATATATTTCCCAAAGGAATTTGTAAACGAGTGCCCCTGGGGGTGTGGGGACCACTGTTTCTCATCAAACTTCACTCTCCTCCCAAACCTCTATCTCACTCTTCACTAACCCAGGGCACTTGTTAACAAAACCCTTTCCAAAAAGAGCATCAAGAATGTTATGCTTACTGATCAAAGATAGATTTAAAGATTGGCCAGAACTTCTGAATCGCATCAGCCACAACTTCTGGAAGATCTACGTTCCTGAATGTAGTCCAGTTAGATAATAGATATCAGACAAAAACTATTTTAAACTCAAGGTCCTTACCTAAAAATGCATGCTAGACGATCAATGTGCATGGTCAACTGCCGTGCGGGTAACTGTTGCATTGCTACTCCACCTTGAGCAGTAATTTCCTGCTGTTCAGATGAAGGGTTACACATACAAGGAATAACTTAGGATACGTGTACAAAAGACATTTTTTAGTCGATTTACCTGTAAAGAAGAAACAGATGGCAAGCAGACTAATTCTAATGCTTTTTTAGCATGCTCTGGGGGTAGTTCTGTAATAACCACACTGCAATAAAAAAACATTATTGTTCATTTCTCCTTAAACACACGGTTCTATGATTGACATACATGCACTAAGAAAACAAAGTAAAGCAAAATATTTTTAAACATCCCTAGAAATGATTTAAAAAATAATACCTCAATGCCTCAACCAAATGCATGGAATCGTCAACAGATATTTTGTAACCCCCCTCCCCACTGACTGCTATGTGATAGATACGAAAGAGACCATCCAATGATCCACTGAACTGTTTGCTGCAGTCTAGGAGATCAAAAAGTAACATTTAAATAAAACAAATTAAATAGAAAAGGTCAAGGTTTCAAAAAATAAGTGCTCATAAGGCGTCATCCTTAAAAAGATATTTAATAGCAATGTTGAAAACAAGGAGTCGCTTGAATATTCATGAAAAAAATACAGTACAAATATATTAGGCTAGAAGATAAGACAATTTAATATCATGCTGACAAAAAGGCTAAAGAGAGATATTATAAGCAACTTTGTTTGAGGAAAAGTACTTAAATATTTTAACCTTCCTAATCTTCTTATGTCATTGCAAATCCTAAGAACAATATTTACTGGGGAAATGGATGCCAAGTTTCCTGGAAAAGAAAAAACTGATGATATATTGGGAGAACAAAAGATCTTTCAGAAGTGTTTGAGTTCGTGCGTGACGAAATGTTGAAGATAAGAAATTAGAGAAAAGAGAAAAAAATAGTATGTCATCAACAAATGTGTTACACTTTAGTAAGTTGCATGGAAACGGGCACGGGTACTGATACGGGTACGGGTAGGGGACACGGCAAAACTATAAAATGTTGGGTACGGGGACACGGCTACATATATATATTGAATTAATAATGTACATGAGATAAATTTTTTCCGCTTCATGTGTCATTAGAATTAAAATTTCGATCACATTTTTGAGTTTATTTTATCATATTGATTATCGTGAATTGTAAACTACTCATTTTTTTACTAGACATCTAAACAACTCATTAACTATATAGTTTTGAACTTGGGTATGGACTGAAACGAACCCGACCCGTATCCCATTAGTTTCAAAAGACGGATGTGAAGTGTAAGCTCTACGTCCAGGAAGTCTTTGACAAGTGTTTTAAATTAACACATATATCGTATAATTGAGTACATGTTGTAATAAATGCATGCATATATTCAAGAAGTGTCCATGAAGGTTGGGTACGGGAAAGTGTCGGGTACGTGTCCGGTACAGGTACGTCTTCAATAATGAAGTACCCGGGTAACATAGCACCTTACACATAGTGTGGGATAGAGGTACAATGTGTATATGTCCTACCTGGAAAAAATTGTCTGTCTGCATTTCATCATCTGAAAGGGACTCAAGCACAGTATATAAGCAAAAATCAGACCAATTTTAACAAATATTAGCAAATACAATCTACCTTCACATATGTACTTGAATGCGATAGCTGCAGCTGCTGAAGAATCCTCAGATGTGCTCATACCCCTTGTAAGAATATCAACAAGTGGAGGCAGGATTGCAAGTTCAATTGGAGCAGCGTTGATCCATTTTGAATATGCTCCAATGGTCGAACAGACTGATGAATTTCATATTCCAAAAGAAAACAATTCAAAACACGTCAATACATCTAGGCCTCTGAATATGGTGAAAATAATGATCCATAAAAGAGGAACGCTTTAAAAGTTTGTTGCAAATACCAGTTTGTAGTAACCGGGGCTGACAAGGAAGCTTTGGAAGTAATGTCATAACCTGCATGAATTATATTAATTATTCTACAGGATTAAAGCTTAAACCAAACTAAAATAACCTCAGTGATTGGATGTATCTATCATTGTTCTCTTGAGAGAGGACCCCAAAAAAGGGAAACCCCTATTTTCCTGAAGAAACTATATCAAGCAGTCACATCCATCAAGCTATTTCCCAAAAATCTAGGGGGGGAAATTGTTGTTCAAGGTTTCTGTTGTGCATGAAGAAAATGAACCTTCTGCTATCTCTATAGAGTGTGTATAAGAAGCATTACTGATACTCCAGAAGATAAATTGTTTGAGATAGAATAAATTCATCTAATGAAGAGCAAAGAAAATTTTGACAGTTGCTAGAGATAGAACAGTCTCAAATTTAAGGATGTCTAGGAAGCCCAGTGCATCTCAACATATTAGATGTGATAAACAGCACTTTGCCTTTGCTTCCAAATTGGTAAATAGATACTTAAATATCACTACCAGCATGCAGTATATCCTCCTGAAAATTTAAAAATGAAAGGGAAAAAAAGAGAAAGGAAGATCACTTAGGAAAACAATAACAAAAAGATTATGTTCTTCCTCACCAAAGTCAAAACCAAATGCATCCAAAACAACTCCTTTTTTATTTGAAAAGGAGAAATATAACCATAAGAGAAAGGGTAATACAGAAAAGGGCAGACACAAGTCGTGAGTGTAGATTATACCAAATATTGATTAATGCAAAGTGATATTGATCAGTAATCCCTCCCATTGCTTTTTATATATTCTATATTGGAGGGACTAATTTCAAAACAAATCAATATTTGGGCGACCTGACAATAATTTTCATGATTTGAGGCACTAATTTCAAAATAACCAAAGAATTGAGGGTCCTAATAGCAACTTCCAAGATTTGGGGGACTCCTTTTAAAATATGAGAGATTTAAGAGACTAATAAAAAAAACCTTCCTTTTTTGATTAGTTTGCATTTATGAACTGGTATGGTTTGCTTGTGGATATTTGCAGAAATGAGATATGGGAAAAGAATTATAATTAAACCGTCTACTTTAGACTACGTAGTATAGTAGCTCCATTTTTGCCCAAAAGCTTACCCCAACTTTATTTTTTACCCAAAAAATACCCTAAAGTCCAAAAACATCTAAGTTTGATACCCTAAATTGACTTGACTAAGGGTGCCAAATTATTATTTTTCTCTTGAACTTCAGGGTATTTTTTGGCAAAAATGTAGTTTGGGGTATCAAAGTTAAAATGGCAGGGGGCGAGCTTTCGGGGTATTAAAGTGCAAATAAACCAAAACAAATGAAGGATATCGACAAGCAAGGAACCCATATGGGGAAGGCCAAGTAGATACATCCACAGAAACATCTACATGTAATACATCCATAGAAACAACAAGTAATGCATCCACAAGTAATTGAAGTTAAATTATAATGTACATTCATATCTTAAGTTAACAAATTCAACCAAAATGTTAACTATTAAACCTACAAAATTATCTACTATGGAGCACATATAAAAAAAAGCAAGTAGATAACTGACATTAACCTATAAACTTATCTACTAATAAACAATCTATAACCAAACAAATTATACGCACTTGACAAAAACTTTGATTAAAAATCCAAAAAGTTAGAAATAGAGTTTTCCTAATACAAAAGTTAACTTCAGACATTTATACTTTATTTTCCTAGTACAAAATAACAACTAAAAACAGATTAAATGATGAAAGCTTCAATCTATGTAATGTCATCACAAGAGGCTATGGACATAGAGGAGACAGCGAAGACCATATAGAACATGGGAAGCTGAAGTTCCCGACTCAAGACCCGACTCAGTATCCAAGGACGGAGGCAGGAATGATGTAGAAGAGAGTTGTGCTAGTAAAGAAAGTCGTGGGGTTTACAACGAAGACGAGCTAGCCCGACCAGCCTGTATGATAAATTTTATAAAATAGAGAAAATAAAAAGAAAACAAACACAAGCAAAAATAACAACTCCTACAACTATCGATATTTGAACCATTTAAACAACCACTGTAGTTAGGCCTGAGGAAAGAACAAATAGAAGATAATGGAAAAGAGAGAAGATAAGAAAAAAGAGAGAAAACAACGGAGAAATGAACAAAGAGAAGATAAGAAAAAAGAGGAACAAACAAAAAGAAGAGTAAAAAGAAAAAAAGAAAGAAAAACAGTATTAAAAAAAGCCTAAGGACGAGATATCCAGATTTGCCCTACTAGGTTGAGGCTAAGAAGAAACTAATAATAAACATTGGCAGTACCCCACTTTACCTCTTGTTAGTTAAAATTTTTAACGGTTTATTTAGATATCAGTCCCTCAAACCTTTGAATTGCTCCTTAGTCCTTCAAATCCTAAGGGATCTTGCAATTTAGTCACTCAATGACAAAAACACTCTCATATATATTTCCCCTCACAACACCCATATTGTACCCAAAAAAAAAGGTTATTTGGACTTTGGTATCCAAAAATTTACACTTTGTTAACTTTAACACCCTAAAGTTTTTTTGACGCTTTAATACCCTAAAACTTATACTTAAATTTAATCCTTAAAGTTTATATCTAATGTTTATATCTTTTTAACTGTGATACCCTAAAGTTTTATTTTTAACACTTTAATACCCTAAAGTGTGGATATCAAATCAAAATTAAAAATTGCATAAAGTTTGACGTAACAAATTTGGAAAAATGCGAAAACTTTAGGATATGAAAGTTAATGTGTAAACTTCAGGATATCAAAGCGTCAAAAGACTAAGGTAAAGTGAGGTACTGCTGGATGACCTACTCCTAGTCTCTTCCTCGCCTCGATCTAGTAGGGCAAAACTAGAGCATCCTTTTCTTAGGCTATTTTAAGCTATTTTTTCTATCTCCTCTTATTTTTATTTCGTGTCCTGTCGTTGTTCGCGCGAGTCCGTTTCTCCAGATCGTCGGCCCCGGCGCGAACGCCCCCGCCCCCCCCTTCTCTTTGTTCATTTCTCTTCTCTTTATTCCTTCCATAGGCCTTGATATGTAAATTTTAGAGTATCAAAGTGTCAGAAAAACTTCACCGTAAAGTGAATTATTACAGCATATCTATTTTAGCCACTTCTTCGCCTCAACCTAGTGCAGCACAGCTAGAACGTACCTTTCTTAAGCTATTTATTATTATTTCCTCTCTTATTTTTATTCCCTTTTCTTCTCTTTGTTCCTTGCTCTTTTTTCTTCTCTTCTTTTCGTTACTTTCTCTTTTTTCTTATCTTCTCTTTGTTCATTTCTCCTCTCTGATCCTTTCTTAGGCCCTAACAACTCAAGTTAAATATCAATAGTTGTCGGAGTTGTTGTCTTACTTGCATTTATTTTTCTTTTGAATAATCTATTTTATAAAATTCATCATACAAGCTGGTCAGGACAGCTCATCTCCACGCAATCCCCACCACTTTCTTTACTAGCACAGCTCTCTTCATCATCTCTGCTCATATCTTTACTCTTTAGATCTTGAGTCGAATATTGAGTAGGAAACTTTGAAGTTTCCCCATCTTCTACATTGTCTTGGTTATCTCCTTTATGTCCGTGACCTCTTATGATGATGCCACATGGATTGAAGGCGGTAATCGTTTACTTAGTTTTTAGTTGATATTTTGTACTGGGAAAATGAAGTATAAATGTTCGAAGTTAAACTTTTTTTTGTATTAGGAAAGTTTTTTTTCTAGCTTTTTGAGTTTTTGAGCAAAGTTTGTCCAGTGCATATACTAGTGCATATACTTGTCGATTACATACTATTTTGGTTACAGATTGCTCCTTAGTAGATAATTTTATATACTAATATTAGTTATCTACTTATTTTATTACATGTGCTCTATAGTAGATAATTTTATAGGTTACTCGTTTTGGTTGAATTTGGTAACTCAAGATTTGAATATACATTATAATTTAATATTAGTTACTTGTGGATATATTACTCGTTGTTTCAATGGATGTATTACATCTGGATGTTTCTGTGGTTGTGTTTCTCGTTACTATTTCAATGGATGTATTACTTGTAGTTGTTTCTACTTGGTCTTCCCCATATGGGGCTCCTTGCTTATCGATGTCCCTCATTTATTTTGTTTATTTGCACTTTAATACCCTAAAGTTTACCCCCATTATAACTTTGGTGCCCCAAAGTTTGGACTATCCCAATGATAATAGGATGCCAGCAACAGGTATCACTCTGGAGGCAAGGAAACAATTCTCAATTGTGGCAGCCATGCAAGAGGTGTGCTTCCATATTATTGCAGTGTTTCATTTGAGAAATCTTCAAACTTGTGTGAGAGGAAGGGTCAAAAGAAGAAATATTGTTCATGTTGGTGGAAGATGCTTGGGTTGATTTAAGTATATCTGAATAACGCAGAGTAATTTAGACTCAATTAAATTGTGAACACTTTGTATGCAAGCACATTTCCAGATATGTAGAGAAATAAAGTATCAAGATATTGAATTATACAAAGTTCCATCATCAGAATTATTGAACATAATCACAATGACATCTGGAGTGATAAATCTTCTACTAGTTAGGTGTCGCTCATATCGATAAGATAAAAACAAATAGGCACCATGGTCGACTATAGATTTTCAAAAACAGAAGAGAAAATGGCTTTGAATAACAGAAAAGTTTGCATACTAGGCTATCTGATTAAACTTTGTGTAACACGAACCTGAGGCATTATTTCAGCTTCCTGCGTTGAAACTGATTTAGCGATAGCTTGTATACAGTAGAGTGCTGCTTCCACAGGTTGCCACTTGCAGTTTTCATTACTGCTACAATTTCCAACTGCCTATAACATCAGAACACCCTTAATAAATGACAGAAAACAATGTCAAGCATCATGACTAAAAAATGAATCTCCGCAAACTTCCCACTCATCATAAGGATAGCAGGCATTTGTTAATTTATGCTTATTTTAGTTATTAGCCATCCTATCAAACTGTTGATGCCTATAAATTGCTGCAAGAGCAATGAAAATACTGGGAAACAAAAGAGCTTGTTCGGCGATCTCCAATATGTGATAATTAGATAACTACAGTTATCACGCTTCTATGGATCATTATTAATGTTTAACTCTTGAGGGAAGAGAGACAAATCACAATGGACAGCAACAACCATACTAACAGCTCCCTACCCTCAACAAGATAATGAGTAACATTGAAGTACAGAAAATTATGCCCTCATGAAGAAGGGGAGGCTAATGCATATGCCTCTGTCTTATTGATACGAGTCGCCGTGCGAGCACCATTTGGTCGCGGAATTACCAAAAGGTGGGTTGAGAAGAAGACAACTAAAACACAAGAACAATTCAGTATGGCGAAGGAAAATACCTTCTCTAGATTATGAAGAATCAATTATTACAAATCTCTCCCTCACAATCTCACTAGAATCGAGAACAAGCTCTCAATCCTCACTAAACCCTAATACAATGATTAGAATCTCTCTTAATTACCTCTCTGATTCTAAGATTTCATAGATCCTCACAATCTAAACCCTAATCCTTTTGATTAGGATCTCACTTAGACCTAAAACCCTTTAGATCTACATATTGGCCTCTCCTCCCTCTTCTTTAGAACCCTAAACAATCCCTATTTATAGGGTTTATAACGTGGTGGCAATCTGATAAATAACCAAGCCAAACCCAAACAGGAAAACACGTAAACAGAATCCTTAACGAATCTGGAAACCCCTGATGAGTCGACTCATGACCTCACATGAGTTGACTCGTAACTCATGGGTCAACTCATCAAATGATGAGTCGACTGGTCAGAGCCGAATTGCTAACAGGGCTTGATTTCTTGAGTCGACTCAAACATACACATGAGTCGACTCATGAGGCTGAAAACTGAGGCTTCGAGTCTTTGATTCTTCGCCTCGCTCCACGCTCCATCCTGTGCTCCGTCGTGTCGCTTCACACCACTATTCTCAAGATATCATGAAAATCACCTATCCTCAAGCTCCCATGAGGATCGCTTTTCCGAAGAGAAGATACACCAGTATCACTTATACATTAGAAAGTTCCAGATCCAAAACCAGCTCAGTTTGCCTATCCCACTATATATTCACTTCCACTGTTCCAACCAAAAATTTAGGGCAATCTAAAGAATCCATTAAACGGCATGTGACCTGTAGAAATTATATGACAGTTGCTTTCGGCAGGTGGCACATTTGTATATAGAAGATAATGAGGAGAAGACAGAACCTAGAAGGCTAGAACTACTAAGTTGAGGCTAGTATTGAACATTTGCTCACAAGACTATATCAAGAAGCATGATAATGGTTTAAGGAGCGAATGGAATAAGAAATGCGGCACCATCTGCCAAAGGAGAAGATGGCACCCAATTGCAGTTACATATTTCATACACAAAAATGCACAGTAAAGCTTCCCTTTATTCATTTCTTAGGAACAAACTTGGTCAAGTGAATGATGGGCCTTTCCCACAGGAAAATTGACACGGTTTTAATTACCAATCCGCCTTATTACATCAACAAAAAAAATACATGCTTTTGAAAAAAGTAGTACATTTGTTCAATTATTTAAATGTGTTTATCTTTCAGTCACTGAAACGAGACCAAAAAATCCCCTAAAGAGCATGTGCATTTAGACATACACACAACATGGTGGTCTAAACCATGAATATGTATGACTCCATGCATTTCAAGTTTTCAACAATCACAATGTAGAATTTTACATACTTTCATAAACAAATAGATGCAAGAAATTTACAATTCTGAACTAGTAAGACATGCTGTTGTAACAAAGACATATAATGGAGCATGCTCACAGGGTAAAATCTTACTAGCTCTTTAACATATAGGCCTCGAAAAAGAATTTTGGAAGGAAGATCTATGGAATGAGAAAAATAATCATCCAACAATTAGGCACACAGACAATTTGCTTCACCTGTACTAGCTTCATAAAGAGAATCTTCAAAGTTAATTCGCCACCCAAAACTGCAGTTGCATCAACTAGTATATCGCTGACAGCTGTCAAAGTGATAGTTCTATCAGGCTTGAAAATTAGCAGCTTGACGTACTAGAGTCTAATATTTCAATTATTTATAATGCAAATATTATTATTTTTGAGCTTTTTAATTTGTCAGACTAAGCTAAATTCGCATTGAGAGCAACTAGATTAGTTTTTTATTTAATAAATTCCTTCAATAATAAGGTTTGCAACAATGGAAGCGTTATGAAAGGCTCACAGATAATATGGTATATACATGTATTTTACCTATTAGCCTATGTACGTTTAATCCATGTGGATCATGATCAACGAGGTTGATTTATAATTAACTGTCCAAGATCTAACCCCTAGCTAGAAAGACACCTCATACAACTTATGGAAATAAAGAGAAACTAAAAACAACTTTCTCTACATATATCATCAACAGATATTAGTTAATATAACAGGGGGAAATTTTTGTGCTAAACAATCCAGAGAACATTTCCTGTTTGTGATGTTACAGTAGATGGTTAGCTAAGAGTCTTGTTTAATAGAAATATATCAGTTACCATATCTGATGTGCTTGAAATCCTTGTGATCTTCCTCAGAAAGGTTCTGATAGTCTTGTGGATACTCAACCCGATAGCTAACCTGCCAAAATGAAGTATGATCAAAATTAAGGAGAGAAGTTTTTAGAAAGTCCATGTATAGATGTCTTGACGATAAGCCCTAGTAAAAAATGTATGTGGAAGGTTTCATTTTATAAAAGTTATTTCACTTTCAGCAATATACCCTTCCGTCTTATGAGAAACTACACGTCGCCAATTTTTGGGAAATCACATGTTCACCCAAATTTGCCAAATTTCCTGCATGACCTTTTGAGGATTTTAAATATTTTTGAAGATATTCATCTCCAACAGCCAGAAGTTGATGTAAAACACAATAGCAAAAAACATGACTGTAAGCTTGATTTTTTACTTTTCACAGGATGAATACCCTAACATATTGGTCAGTCATATGGCTCGCCCTCACTTAATCCACATTGGAGATAGGTAAAATTTAATACCAAGGATGAACACTTTCTAAAAGATATCTTGATATTCCTAGTCAGTGATTGTTTCTCTTTTAGTTGCAAAAATTAAGTGAGACTATATTTAATTACTTAAATAATATCAGTAATGCAGTTTTTTGTTCATTGGAAGAATATCTTTCCTAAATAACCAAAATACACAAGATTATGTAGAAACATAGGCAAAACACAATGCAACATATATAAAATTTAATTCTCAAAATATTACCCTACTTTACTTAAACAACACTCACCAAAGACACCAGCATTTCAAATGATGGACGAAAAACTTGCAGTCTCCGGTTCCTCTCTTCCTCACCTGAAGCTTCTGAACTATATGAAGAATAGGAGTCCCTGTGCCAATAAGGATTAATAGAATTTTGTGCTGATAATAATCAAACAGCCAAGATTCCTCCAACTCACATCATCTTTACCTTCTAGTCAAGTTAACCTGGAGGTGGTGCCAGAAGTTATATGTCATGGAGGAAATATCATAATCAGGGTGAGAAGCAACTTCAAGCAATGCTTGAATGATTAACATAGATTCATCAGAACCTGGGGAAAACAACCAAATGAGCACTGCAGCAGCAGAGAAAAGTAACCAAAGTTCTTTAATGAGCATCTGTCCTAATATATACAAGAATGTGTGTAACGGAAGTGTTGGATTAGACTTAAAAGAAAAGATGTGATTCTGCAAACATTATTTTATACCAGTCGCAATCAATTCTACATAAGAATCCCCCATATCTGCAAATAAGCGAGCAATGGCCTTCACATCTTCTTCATCCTGGAATAATAAATATTAAAAGATAGTGACAGAAAACAGTAATTAAAACAGTCCAAAACAATGTATAAGAAAAGCAACAGCAAGAAGGTACCTAGGAGTAAGCAAAATGGGGGGTGGGAGGTAGGAGGTGGGAACGAAAAAAAAAAGTTACAAAAGATAATATTGACTGTAGCCACATTATCACCCTTACAGATCCTCATAAGACAAATCATTTACATCCAAAACAGGATCATCTGTGGAGCATCATCAAGAAGGCTCCACATAAGAATTGACCATGATTTATGATCAGGTTATGATTCATGACAACCCTAGTATGAATCCCACATTCACAGCAAGTTGAATGGCAACTCCTCATGCAAGCAATAGCAAAGAAATAAGGTGAAAAAGAAAATACTATAAGGAAAACACAATCTAATCCAACATTTTGGAATTACGGTTGACCATCAATGTGTGAAAACTTGTCCATGAGCCAATGACAATAAATGTCACTGCAATTTTAAGTTCAACTTCCAGAATGCTCTTATAAATGAAACAGTGCCTAAACAAAGACAACCACAGTGGACCCTGTATGATCAGATCAGCATACCTTAGAAGAGTCCCTAAGTTGATCTTTGAGACCCATAACACGCGGAACAAGTAATTGAATCAGAGGCATTTGTGCAGAGAACCCACCGGAACTTCTAGCTACACTATAGTGTATCAATTCTGATATAACTGCATGAGTAAAGAATGTAATAATATAAATACATAGCAGAAATAACATCTGTTTGTAGCCATGCTTTTAGTCCTATTCAAATGCAGATGTGAAAAGACAGCATCTTCAAATTTTTGCTCAGTTATGGGATACAAGGAGCATCATTGGCAATTAAAAGAAAAGAGCAACTCCAGCAATAATTCAAATGTATAGAAATCTTGATCTACTGGTAATCAGCAAAAGTAAGACCAGTACTAAAAGTCCATCCCAACGCTTTTAGCAATATCTGAGGATATAAAAATTCATTAAACACATTTTTTGGGTGATTGTCAGGATCCATGATGACATGAGTGAATGCAACCAAGGCACATTGCTTGAGAATGCGAAAAGGGTGATGCGGCATGCTGGTACATCACCCCTCCCCTGATAGAATATGTTTCTTCTATTAGTGTCAAACTAGCAGAATAAGAGTGCAGGTAATACCGGCCTATAGAACACAAGAAAAAGAGAGATCAGGTTTTCTTGGAGTTTAATAAGTAACCTATAATGTTCTACTTATTCATGTCCCAACTCACAACGTTATAAACAACATGTATACTTTGGCCATATGACAAGTAATAACATAAGGAAGATCAATATTATTAGTACAACAATATAACTTCTATAAATTGCTTTATTTGCTGGCACAAGAACAGGCTCTTGATATAAGACAAACAACTGAGATGAGCCATACTCTATGTCTTCACCACTGTACTAAAGACGTGAAATAGTGCTTGAACGGCTTGTGCTGAACAAAATATGTATTCTGTGCCAACACTGTCAAGATGACACAAGACCTTAGCCAACAAAATTCGATTTCCTTTACAACAAGCTCAAGGTTATGCAACAGTATGAGAAACACAACCTGCCAAAACTGAATCCACTTCATGTATAACAGTATGTCACTGCTGATTTCACTTGCAAGATCACTAAACCTATATGACAATTATAATGCCGGAGGAGTCAAGCAAAAAGAATATCACATTACAAGTAGTTAAGACATAAGATTAAATCTAGAGACTGCTCATTCCTGCATCTTTTATTGATCTCAAAATGTCAGTATATAAACTTTTGATTTCAAAAACTTGGAAAAAACAATATTATGTCTATAATCCTATTATTGTTGAAACTCAACATCCTCATACGTAATCAATAAAAGTACATCAGAGAAATAAATCAACTGATTATGGATATAATCTATCATGAATGGTAACTGAAACAAACAAATGGTACCTTAATGCAAACATACAAATAGAACAAAAAAACTAGCTAACAATTATTTCAACATATTGATCCCAGTTAACTGCTTCAATAGAATGGACGCGATCTATAAATATAAGCTAGATACATAATGCTGAGTATAAAGACATGAATAAGGAGCAAGTTGCAAAATGTGCTAAGTTGCAAAATGTGCTAAATATGCTTATCTAAAGTACCATTTACAGCTGGTTCAAGAAGCTGCTCAGAGTCTAAAGATGATAAGGCTGCATGGACAAGAGGATGAGAAGCGAGAGAAGATGCAGGAATCCTGAAAACCACACCCAAATAAAAAAGATCTATAAATCAGCAAGCAGAAACCTCACGTATTTTACATAGCAGAAATGGGCACATCTATAGCATTTAATGAATAATAAGAAGAAGAAAAACCATTAGACAGTGCTTTAGACTTGCTAGGTGAGCCGGGGTGCCAATATTTAAAAATTCCTAATGTAATGCACTCAGAATACTTACCCATGGCTCAGTCGTAGCCATGAAGCAAAAGACTCCAAAACCTGAAAACAGAAGATACGAATGTAGTAACAAAAGGAAGCCAAAATCTGGTGAACTAATCCATATGGGAAACTATGAATGCACCCAAATATATAACGTTTTTTATTGATTTATTAGTTATTAGACTGGGAGAACATAATCCTGCAATCCAGATCATTCAAGATTAAGACTTCTCATACATGTTTTTGCCATTACTGTTTCTTCTTTGTTCATTCCCATCTAGATCTGATGACATCATCTACTCCTTTTGGACCTATCTTTTACTGCTTCCAGAAACAAAAACAACTTTGTTCCTTTATATCGTCCATGACCTTTGAATAGATCTTCACCCATTTATTTTACCTTCTTAACCCATACACCAAAATGAAATGAACTCAAGATTACTGAACGTTCCCTGTTCCCTGACTTGTTGAAAAATCAAGCAACCCAAAAGCTAATGACATGAAAACTTATTTGATGCATAGTGTTATCTCAATAACTTCAGTCTGAAATTTGAACTAAATCCTACCTACACCCATGCATGCAAACTAGATGATAAAAATCAGGGTACCAACCTGCTCTCTGAATTCCTCAAATCCCAAACATGCGGTCAAGAGACCAAAAGCAACCTCGGCTGATGAAGAAATCTCCTTCTCAAATTGGCGGCGCCTTTCAGGACGAACTGCTATTTTATAGCTTGAAGCTTCCTGATAGAACAAAAAAGGAACAAAACAAAATATAAACGCATATCAACATCTAGTATGAAAGAGAGTTGTAAAGGTGAAAAGGGGGGAAACTAAGAACGTGAACATGCCTACCAGCACATTGCAAGTGAAATTCCTCATTATAAAGAGCAGTCACTAATCTAATATGGACTATGTATGGCATTGCAATGCCACAAGGTCCACAACAGAAATATAAAATTGCAACAATATAGGAGAGCACAAAGGAATATGATAGTGACTGTTTAAACAAAGTTAATTTCAGTACAAATTCTGAAAGATAATATAATACTGCTTTTGTTTGCAGATACAAGATTTAGATATGTCATATACTAGCAAAAAGATGTATAAATTTATAAATTGTTATCTTCAGGAAACTTCATTATCTACAATCGACTCCATAGTACTTTGAATTTATCATCAACATGTGCATCAATATATCATTCTCAAAGAATTCAAGAAGTGACCTTACACACTGATGGTTCAATATGTAAAAGTGAAACTCTGGCATTATGGTTCACATTCAATCAGAGAAAAAGAAGGTACTTAATTTTACTTCATAATCCTAGATAGACAAGACCCATAAAGTCATTGCTACTACACAAAGTGTTCCAATTCACCTATCTAAAAACAGATCTTCTGAGTGGACAAGATTTGCCTATTAAAAATTGTATAATTAAATTAACCAGCCATATGAGATATGACAAAACTAACAACCCAAAAATGTGCGTGACATCTAGACTTGAATGCATACAAAGAACTCTGAGAGAGGTGTTGTAAATGGAAATTGAGTCCCCTGAAATGCAATATAGCAAAAGAAATAGGGTTTCGCTCAGGAATATTTCTTGTTCATGGAAAATATATTTTTTTTAAATAACGACAAGAAGACCAAGGAAGTTTGAACAAAATGAAAGAATTGGAAACAGAAATCCTATAGACCACAAGATTTTCAGCTGCTAAACCCCAAGAGGAAGCCATGCAGCTTATATCCTTCCGTGACTATCTTAACTTACGATTATAGCCTTTTGTCCCAAATTTGACAGCTTATTTTTCCCTCTAACAGAGTAGCCAAGCGTACAAGATGAACTAGTACTTTCTTGAATGTAGTAGACTTTAAAGTGAACGACAGTAATAGATTTTACTTTTAATGAATCTCAGTCCGGAACATTTCAAATATTCCATTTCTTCACTGGGTTGACTAAATATGCAACACTTCCCTAAATTATCAATATATATTGCCATTGCTGAAAATTTCTGCACCTCTGAATATTTATTTACCTTCTAAATGTCTACTTGTAATCCAGAACACTCCTAAAAGTGGTAACAACTTCTACAACAACCAAAACCTTTTGATCTTCACAAATTTCTTTACCTAGTTGCAGGAAATACACAAAGCCTTCCCCAAATCAACAACACTATTTCATCTGATGATACCTTGATGGTCTCTCTCTGCCTAAATGTTCCCTATATCCGTCGCAAATATTTTTTAAAAAAAATCAAAAAGAACAAATTTTCAGAATACACAAAAACCAATACAGGTCTTCCAATGTCAAATCATAAGCCTTCCCCATTACTTCAGTATGTATCCCCTAAACTGAAAGGTAACAGTGAGGCATAATGTTTTGTCATTTGACTTCGAATTTCCTCTGTTCATCCACTCATCTAAATTGAAGTTACTCTTATCATAATTTTAGTTCTAATAAAAATCAAATTAGCATTAGAGACAGGAGCACAAAAAGGTGTTAGTGAAACGTATATAAATAAGTAGCACATATATACAAAGATGTGCATCACTTACTCGCCTTATGCTTCAGGGACAATAATATGCACTATGAGAGACAGAAGTATAAATTAAAAAAAACAAATACTAGATAATTAACTATATAAGTTTTTATTACTGTATACTTTTTACTTGTACCTGTGGCAAGACAGTAAGTAACTCCAAGAAACTCGGGATGTATTCAGGGTGAGATTTCATCTCTTCACTGACCCAATTAACAATGCCACCACCGCCCCAGTCTTCTACAGAGACATGCACAGCCAAAGCAGCAACTGCAATGCTAATCTAGAAGGTAAAGGAAAATAAGTAGCAAACTCGAACTAAAGGCATTGTTGACTTCTTTAGTATTTATCCTCAAAGATACCTGTGTTCTAACTTTTGGGGGCCCTTTGCTGAGTTTCTTCAGCAATGTCTGCATTAGCAATAAATTTACAAAGATCAATAAATATGAATGCAAAGAGATCCATGAAGCGGAGGAGGAAACTAAAACAAAAATGAGACACAAAAAATTCATGTGCAACTCTATAATATTAAGTACAAAAGTACTAGAAGGAAAATATGAAATTATGAATCTTAAATTTGCAGGCTCAAATGTTTGATGCAATGTACATAAAACATGATCATTAACTTTCTGAATTTCCATAAAGACTAAGATTCTTAGATTCACTGACCATCTATAATTCTAGTATTACTATTGTTTGATAAATTCAACATACTAAATGATTTATATGTCAAAAAAATAGACACCAAACCCCCATGGCATAAAACTAAGGTATCAAATCCATATCCTTCCTTGTGTGGCTTTTGAACTTATAAATCTCATTGCCATACTGATTCATGTCCATTCCATAGCAGGCAGCCATCTTTAAAATGAGGTCTTTTTGTTTCTAAATTTTGGTTGTTAAAAGAGGAAGCCAGGTAAAAATGGGAGACACCAGAGAGAGGAATTTGGGGGGAGAGGGGGGGGGGGGCTTTTTTTTTGTTTGTACACTTCTTCAGACTTGGAAAAGCTTGTAGTCCTTTCATCATATGCCCTTCCTGAACTTACTTCTCTCAGCTGAAATTTTGGTAACAACAAAATGCTTCAAGCTTCACTGCTGCATCATCTTTATACAACCAACAGAACCTCAATTAATGGGTTCGTTCTGCACTGGATCTTTGAGTCTATGAAATATGCCGAAACTTCATGTCATAGTTTCTGAAGGCCCATCGTCAAGCCTTTCTCATTATTTTCCTATCCTGCAGCCTTTCACATTATCTTTGATGGCTCCTGTCTTTTAAATATCTTCTTTGAATATGTACTTATGGTCAACGCACCCTGAGAAATTGTGTTGTGCGCTAATAATATTATGATATCAATATTAAGTAAATTGCAGGCTACACTTTCATCATTTAAGCAACTAGATTTGATTGAGTTATCATTTCAAATTCTTAATTTGTTATGACATACACCTTTCCAGTAACACAAGCCCTACAATCATAGGACACAAATTTGCACAAAAGGTGAACTTGCAGTGGATGGTACTAAAAATCGAAATGATTGAAGTACTAAAAATTGAAATGATTGAACGAGAAGCTCTGAGTACTAAGTGATGAGACCCATGTACATCCATGAAGCTTAAGAAAGATTTTCCAGAATGTATGGATATAAACATTAAGTGGTCAAGAAAAATGTATTTTAAAAAATAAAGATTTATACGGATGAAATGAGAATGCTTAGATCGATGTGTAAGCATGATCAGGAATATAAACAAGACATACATGGCAAAGCAGTAATTTATTGAATGTAAGTCATGGAAACAAGGCAACACAACTATAAATATTCATATAACAGTGGTGATACTGGTGACAATAAGAAGAAATAAGAATTGACAATAAAGAAAGAAAGATTAACTGAAACATACACATATAGAAAATCATGGATGTTGAAGGGGTACACTTCTAAATGTAAAACATAATGTTAACATTACCGATACAGCTTTTTCATGTTATCTATATTATCAGTTAAAACACACACACATGCATATATTTACTTATATATATACATATGTATATTTATACACACACACATATACATACATACATACATACATGCATACACACACACACACCCCACTTGAGTCCTCAATTTTCTATAAAATTTTTTGATTACACACACACACACACACTTGAGTCCTCAATTTTCTATCAAATTTTTTGGTTACCTACACGCACCCAACCCCCACTACACACACACCTACTCTACATACATACATACATACATACACACACACCCGCTTGAGTCCTCAATTTTCTATAGAATTTTTTGATTACACACACTTGAGTCCTCACTTTTCTATCAAATTTTTTGATTACCTACACACACACAACCCCGCTACCAAGGTTGCTAATAGCGGATCGCGGCGCGTCGCGGCGAGGTACCGCTAAGGCTATATCGGGCGATCGCGGCGAAATCGCGGTAAATAGCGCACAGTCAAATAGCGGTCAAATTTAAATATATTTAAATATCCTAAATAATAAGAAAATTCATTAAAAAATCTAAAAATTCAATTAGTTGTAAATTTCTTGTATTATCAATAAATAACAATTAATAAGCTTGTTGTATGAATGAAACTATGAAGAAATTCAAGAAATATAGCATCATAATGTGTGATAGCGGATTTAACGGGTTTAGCCGCTTTTAACAACAAAAATCCGCTTTTAACCGCGAAAATCCGCTTTTAACCGCGAAAACCCGCTTTTAACCGCGAAAACCCGCTTTTAACCCGCTAAAATCCGCTTTTACGCGCTATTTGAATGAATAGCGGATTTTCCCGCTTAAGCCAGCCGTGAAACCCCTACGCGTAGCGCTGAAGGGTCGCGACCGCTATTCGCGCCGCTATAGCCCCGCTATTGGCCGCTATTTACAACACTGTCCGCTACACACACAACTACTTCTCTCTCTCTCTCTCTCTCTCTCTCTCTCCCCCCCCCCCTCAATTTTTCTATAGAATTTTTTGATTACACAAACTTGAGTCCTCAATTTTCTATCAATTTTTTGATTACCTACACACACACAACTACCTCTCTCTCTCTCTCTCTCTCTCTCTCTCTCCCTCCCTCCCTCCCTCCCCCCCCCTCAATTTTCTATATCTTTTGATTACCTACACACACATACACACTTGAGTCCTCACTTTTCTATCAAATTTTTTGGTTACCTACACGCACACAACCCCCACTACACACACACCTACTCTGCATACATACATACATACACACACACGCACACGCTTGAGTCCTCAATTTTCTATAGAATTTTTTGATTACACACACTTGAGTCCTCAATTTTCTATCAAAATTTTTGATTACCTACACACACACACAACCCCCGCCTACGCCCACCAACTACTCTCTCTCTCTCTCTCTCTCTCATCTCTCTCTCTCTCCTCTTCTCCCCTCTCTCTCCCCCCCCCCTCAATTTTCTATATCTTTTATTACCTACACACTTAAGTCCTCAACTCACTCTCTCCCCCCCCCTCAATTTTCTATATCTTTTAATTACCTAAACCCACACATACCCACTTGAGTCCTCAATTTTCTATCAAATTTTTTGATTACCTACACACGCGCATGCACGCACACAGACACACATACAAACAGATATATATGTATATCTATGTATGTATGTATGTATATAGACACACAGAGACACTTCAGTCCTCAATTTTCTATCAAAATTTTTGATTACTTATAGCGTATTTAGAAATATATGCTAAGCATGTTAAACATTACAAAATTGAGAACCTCTATGCATGATATGCATGACGGAGGAATATCCAGGAATTAATGGTGTTCTATGCATGTACAACTTAGCAGAGATTGTCAGTTTATGGGAAGACAATGGTGCCCCCAAACATGGTGAACAAGAGCGAATTCCATTGAGAGAATAGGGATGCACAACAGATACTTCAAGTAGCTTGTCCATTAAGAATTACATGATTGTAGCTAATGAAGATAGTACAAAGATACGAATACCAAAACTAACTTGAATTGAAGCAGAATGTGGTTGTTCAGTTGTTGTTACGGTAAGGAAAAGATTCTTCATAGAAGAAAACAGAACCATGAGTAACTACCATAACTGTATAAAGACTATAGAGATCAAAATCTGATAAATTCGTTACCCTATTTGTCTATTTCTGCATGCACTCCTTCTATCTCTCCAAACTACCATCTGAAAGAGCAAAAACATTAAGAATTGCAAGACTAATGTCCTTAAGATCGGTCATCTCAAATATCCATGACTAGTGTCCTTAGAGTGATTCAACCATCTCAAATATCCAGAGACAACCATCAAATCATACAAATATGCAAAATGTCTCGTCAATTATGAGAACGTATGGTGATCCACCAGAAAATCATAAAAAATGTAGAATACATAAAACTATAACAAAACTCTGGCATTAATGTTTAATGTAATGGATGCATAATCACTCGTAACAAAATCAATACAACTAACTTATTCACATCAAGAGAGATCATTAAAAGAGACTGGTCACAAATTTTTCATCTTTATGTAACAATACTCACATATAAGGAATCACGTAAAGGTCGAAATGCTTCAGAAGGTAACTCCTCAAAGTCCCTTTGTACCTAGAATCCCAAGGCACGTCTAGCATGAATATTGAGTAAAGTAAGGATATAAACAATAAAAAAATGATAAAGACAAATGCACCTACGTACACCACTTCAGAATTTTATTAAGGGATATAACAATGAAAAATTAATAAATCATCTACCATAAGCAAAGCCCAATTTTCTTAGCCAAATTACCTTGCTTCTAAGTGTCTGAGAACAAAAAATGAGGGTCTCTATGTTGCTGTTAGCATCATGAAGAAAATTATCAGCAACCTGCAAGGAAACATAAATCCTGATAGAGTACAAATATATGTAAAATAATAAAATGAGTCATTAAAGCCATATATATTGCTACTTCAGTCAGTTAAAACAAAAGAAACATGTTAAACATTTATCAATCCATAACTATATGAATAAGTAGTACCATATGTCTAAATAAGTAGTACCATAGGTCTGCTACGTATCTAACCCACAAGATAAGTAGCAATATATATTATCTACAACCCTCATCTGCACACCTTCTTAGCATAAGAAAATATTACAGTTAGCCCCTTTAACCGAGTAACTCGTTGATTTTTTTCCATAGGCAAACTCACATATCCAATAGTTTAGCTAGCAAGGTACTCTGATATAGACTTCAGAGTTGACCGCAGATCCTTATTCAGAGTCGAGCTTAGTAGCAGGCACCATGGCTGTACAAAAAGGGGTTTGGGAAACGACAGACAACTGCTACATGAAAATACTGAAGCTCCCCCCATTTTCTAAAGTTTAAATTAGCCTGACGCCTAAGGACTACAAAGTAAAGATAGTCCTCTAACACAGCCAAATATTAGAGAAAGAGGAAACTATGAATTTACAGTGAACAATCCTCAAAAAGGGGCTAGCATTAGATTTTCGTTGTGAGCAAAGAATGTCATGTAACTATCTGCTAATAATTTCAAATTGTCCCCAATGTAAGTTACTCCATTCTCTTCCTTCTTTAAGATTATAAACTACAAACTTCTCTATTGCTTGAAATCCACCAGCAAAACCCTAGAATTTCCTTAAAGAGGAGAATGAACAGTTTATTTTCCAAATTGAAACCCTAGAAGAAAGGAATGAATCATGGCGACGAGCGTACCTGCCAAGCGTCGATGGAGTGCTGGAAATCCTGCAGCCAGCGATCGGCCTGCGCTCGAACGGCATCATCAGGGTGATGATAGAGTGCGTTGAGAGCTTCTTTCACTGTGTTCTGGAGATCCATTGACGACGAAATTGATCTTCGATTTTGAAAACTAGGGTTTTTCAGAGTTTTTTTGTATTTTTCTCTCTCGACCTCTTTCGCCGGTTCTTTTTTTTATTGCTGATGATGATTCACTGCGAAGTTACCTCGGTCGAAAGAAGCACGGCTGTTTTGATTTCGCTCTCGCTCTTTTAAATTTGGTCGACGGGTTTTGATCGGGTCGAACCATAATCCGTGGGATCCAACCCGAAAAGCAATTGGGGAACTATATATTTATTAAGAACAATTTTTCAAAACCGACTGAAATTTTTTTTTTTTTTTCAAAACCGACTGTTTTTTTTTTTATTTATCAAAATCGACCCGGTTTTGTGATTAGCAGGCTAATCACTATCCTAAATAGTCGGGGTTGGCAACCCCGACTATTTAGGAGGGTGTTAAACCCTAATTAAAGGGTGATTAGCAGGTTAATCACTATCCTAAATAGTCGGGGTTGCCAACCCCGACTATTTAGGAGGGTGTTAAACCCTAATTAAAGGTCGGGGTTGGCAACCCCGACTATTTAGGATAGTGATTAACCTGCTAATCACCCTTTAATTAGGGTTTAACACCCTCCTAAATAGTCGGGGTTGCCAACCCCGACTATTTAGGATAGTGATTAGCAGCCTAATCACAAAACCGGGTCGATTTTGATAAATAAAAAAAAACGGTCGATTT